GTGACAGCATGGGGGCTGAAAGATTAGCGGAAGTTGCCGGAAACTCGCAAAGATCTATGGGAAACTCGCCTGTATTTGGGCATCGTCTGGTCCTCCCGGTTCTGCGCAGTGTATGATCTCCCATAATGCGTTGCGCCAAACACGCGTGTGTGGGTCTCACACCGGGTCTCACGCACGTGCACAGAGGGGCTCGGCCGCGCTCTGACCAATCAGAGCAGTTCATCAGAGCGGGAGTTAGAGCGAGAGTCAGATGAGCAGAGTTTGTGGCACTAAAGTGTGGATTTAAACAAAACTGAAGGATTTAAGAAGAAAAAAAGTTCAGGATGACAAGGGACACTAAAATCCCCACAAAATCCGATCTTTATTAAAGCTGTAGGTTCTCTGTCGAGCTGTTTTAATATGCATTGAGTTCTATGGGGAAAATTTCTGGGTGGCCCACGTGAATTTAGTCTGGTTCAGTCTGTAGTACCGCGAGAATCCCCTGAGCACATGAGTTATTCAGCTACAAGCTAGTAATACCCTATCAAGTTATTATAATACATCCATGGAACCACTTTAAAGGAGAACACGGGATACCTTCTTCTTCTTCTTCTTCTTCTTCGAAAAATGTATGTTCTAATGGTACATGGTCCCTTTTTAAATAAATTAAATATTTATATATGAATTAGGTCGTGGCACCTTGACGTCTTTGTTATGAATGTTTTTGTATGTGTTAAAGTTAAATTATGTCAAGGCACTTCTACATTTAAATCATAAACAACTGACATTATCAGGAGTTATATCGCTCGGTGCAACTGTGCAAAAAGACAACATGTTCATCAGTTGATCATGAATCACAAATACATCAAGAATCAAACCAAATGTAATATTCTGAATGTAAAAACCACATAAGTCTGAGGTAGATCACGGTTGAATGGTTGGTGAAAAAGTAGATCTTGGTTTGAAGTGTGTGGGCCCGCTGTTAGAGAAAGTAAATCACAGAAGAAAATTGTGTTGCCGTTTGTGTGCATTTTTCCTCTAAAACCTTGTTCTAAATGTTCTAATGTTGCCCATCCACTTTACTCAGATGAACTAAATGACAAAGTTGTGCGTCCCGTTGCAGTGGTGCATCTCGGGGGAGTGTGTGATCGTGGGGAAGCTGCCCGAGACGGTGAACGGAGGCTGGGGCCCGTGGAGCGGCTGGTCCTTCTGCTCCAGGACCTGTGGCACCGGGGTCCAGGCCGCAGACCGAGAGTGCAACAACCCCAAGTAGGACCAGAACATCACAGAATCATGTAGTCTCTGTATCCAAGACCTCCTTTAACCTTCGTGTCCGTTCAAACATTTACAGAACATGCTCGCTCTGAATTTAAACTCCCACACAGAGTTTAATGTTTTCAAGGTCGATTAGAGGCTGGCGTCATTCTGGGTCTGTTCTAAGTTACTGCAGCGAACCAAACGGGAGAGAGATCGCAGAGACAGAACGAAGCAAGCAGCAGATACAATAAAATAAGAGATCTTTTATTTGTCCCACAGTGATGAAATTTCAACGTTGCAGCGCACAGACAGGACAGTAGTCGCTATTCAATACCAGTCTCTCAACAACAACAAAATGTATATAGTGCAAAGGTATATACTGTACATATAGGGCAGGATACAAAGTAGCTAAAGTAAATTGGCAGCAGGTCCCTGTTTATTTATAGAGAACTAAAGCTGGGGAATCCTGGGTCAGAAGCTAACACTCATGCGCACTAGTATAACATCCATGACATTACTGTACAATACATGTGTTACCAGTCTTTACCAGAGAGGGCGATGTCTTACACGTTGGACGTTTTCTTGGACCAAAGTATTTTTAATGATCATGATGTATTTGTGTGAATGTTAGCCATGGAGTAATAATGCACAATTTCCTTCAGGGGTCAATAAAGGTTCTGTCTGTCTGTCTGTCTGTCCCTCCGTCGGTCTATCGATCCATCTATATCTCTATCTATCCGTCTATCTGTTTGTCTATCTATCTATCTGTCTATCTGTCCAACTGCCTGTCTGTCTATCCGTCTATATTTCTATCTATACATCCGTCTTTCCGTCTATCCGTTTTTTCTTTCTATCTGTCTGTCTGTCCATCTGTCTATCTATCCATCTATATTTCTATCTATCCGTTTTTCTGTCTATAAATTTGTCTATCTATCTATCTATCATTCTGTCTGTCTGTCTGCGTCCATCTTTCTAATGGTTGCATGTAGACCCTATATTTAAAAATTGAGCTGGAGGAAGTAAATACCAAAAAGATATGGTAGAATTTGTCAAGCGGTTTTACGGTTCTCATCATTTCTGGGAACCAAGACATTCAGAACCATAACAACAGATTGATGTGACTTTCCATTTCCGTGGTGCTTTCAGGCCTGAGTTTGGAGGCAAATACTGCACCGGGGAAAGGAGACGGTATCGAACCTGCAACACCAGACCGTGTGCCAACGAGCAGCCCACCTTCAGAGAGATGCAGTGCTCAGAGTTCAACACCGTGCCCTACCACAACGAGCTTTACCAGTGGATCCCCGTCACCAAACACGGTAACCACGGTAACCACAGTCACCACAACCAGGAAGCAATGTCGGATCAGTTCATTTGCAAAAAACAGATGAGTGACACTAACAAATAATACTTAAAAAGCAACAAAAAAAGTTCTACTTCTTTGATCCCTGCGGCGTTTATAGCGATGCGGCTAAGCTAGGATACAGATTCAGTTCAATCTACATCGAGAGCTGATTGGCTGAGTGAGGGTGATCCGCTCTCTATTTCAGTTTTCCGTCTGAGAAAAGCCAATCCAAACATGTGACAGAGGCTAGAAGATAGAAGATAGATAGATAGATAGAGATAGAAAGATGGATAGATAGATAGATAGAAATAGAGAAATAGATAGATAGACAGAGAGACAGATAGATAGACATACAGAGATAGGTAGCTAGATAGAGAGATAGATCGCTAGATAGCTAGACAGACATAGAGAGATAGATAGACATAGAGAGATAGATAGACATAGAGAGATAGATAGATCGAGATAGACATAGATAGAGAGATAGATAGACTTAGATAGATATATAGAGAGATAGATAGATAGATAGACATAGATAGATAGATAGATGTGTTGTAGTTTGAAAGTTAGGTACCCAAGCTTTAAATGTTTATTTGATGATTAAACATACAAAAACTGTGGCTTTCTGGCCTTTTCCCCCCTGTAATACACGCAGAGCTCCAGCAGGGGGCAGCATTCCCACTTGTTATCCCCGGCCCCCTCCGTCCACAATTACAACTCTCTGGTCTGTGATTACAGTTTTTTACTGGGGTCAACACACATTTATGCGCTGTGTTCTTGTCCTTGTAATTTATGGTTTTTATGCAACGACTTTACCTCGATCTGACAGTCTCTGAGAAAACACAGCTGCCACATTCCTCCCGCGCAGGACCACACACACGCACACACGGCTGCAATTACCACCATTTAAGATACAGCTATGTGCGATGCAGAGGTGGATCGTCTCTGTGTGTTCGTTTGGGAGATGATTCAGTTTGATTCTATGTATTTGTCCAGCAGTCGTCAAAGAATCAAAGGGAGATGCGATAGTAACAAACACACAGGAGGTCCACAGGGAGCGGGACGACCTCTGTCCACAAAGGTCCTGGATCATCGCTCCACCACTCAAAATCCCAGTGGGAAAAAGTGAGAAACATTTGAGAGAAGGGTCCGTGTCACTGAGTCTCTCTCCAGTATTTTATTTATTTTTATTTATTTATTGTGTATTTGGTAGGGACAGAGTATGTAATGAACACACCGGTTTGTACTGTAACTAAACTCTTCCTCTGCTCCTCTCCTGAATCCCTGTGAGCTGCACTTTTGACCTGTGTGTGCGTGTGTACCTGTGTGTGTGTGTGTGTGTGTACCTGTGTATGTAGTAAATTCTTTCTTTCTTCCTCAGTGAATCCTTATGAGCTGCACTGTCGACTTGTGTCTGTTTGTACCTATGTATCTGTGCGTGTGTGTACCTGTGCATGTGTTTGTGTACCTGTGTATATAAACTCTTCCTCTGCTCCTCAGTGAATCCCTGTGAGCTGTGTGTACCTGTGTATATAAACTCTTCCTCTGCTCCTCAGTGAATCCCTGTGAGCTGTGTGTGTACCTGTGTATATAAACTCTTCCTCCTCTCCTCAGTGAATCCCTGTGAGCTGTGTGTGTACCTGTGTATATAAACTCTTCCTCTGCTCCTCAGTGAATCCCTGTGAGCTGTGTGTGTACCTGTGTATATAAACTCTTCCTCTGCTCCTCAGTGAATCCCTGTGAGCTGTGTGTGTACCTGTGTATATAAACTCTTCCTCTGCTCCTCAGTGAATCCCTGTGAGCTGTGTGTGTACCTGTGTATATAAACTCTTCCTCTGCTCCTCAGTGAATCCCTGTGAGCTGTGTGTGTACCTGTGTATATAAACTCTTCCTCTGCTCCTCAGTGAATCCCTGTGAGCTGCACTGTCGTCCTGTGAATGAGTTTTTCTCAGAGAAGATGTTGGAGAGTGTGACGGACGGGACGCCCTGCTTCATGAACAAGTCCCGGAACATCTGCGTCAATGGCGTCTGCAAGGTAGTGTGGCTGGGTAAGATCTCCAGGGGCCGCGGGCCGAGGGCGCGGTAGGGGTCAGGGGTCTCCAGCCTGTAGCTCCCCACAGGGTTTAGAAACTATTTTATTTTATTTTGATTTTCATGTTTGCTATGCCTTTACTTGTTATGCAAAGCAGTGGTTCTCAAAGTGGGGTACTGTTTAGAGCAAATTATTACCAACAACGTTTTGGGTTAATTATTAAGAACAGAATAAGAACATTACAGGCCGTGGTGGCACAGGGGTCCGGGGCCGTGGAGAAATGGGAATTAGGCCGCATCTGGCCCTCGAGCCGCACTTTGCCCCGGTCTATAAGCAGTGTTGTGCGTGAACGAGTTCAAAAGAACGCGTTCACTGAACACGCTCATTTTTTTGGGAACGTTGAACTGAACGCAACACATTTTTAAAAAAAGAACTTGAACGTGAATTAGTTCATTTTATGTGTCATGAACGGCAGACATCACTATGAACGTTGGAATCTGTTTTCTCTTTTGAAACGCAACAAGAGAAAGTTCCTCCCTCCTGTATTCTCGCAATTTTTCCGCCAAAATCTAAAAATTCCTACGGTTTCCACCGTCTGTGAACGCACCCCGACTCTGTGTTGCGGTGCGGCGCTGTGAGCTGGTGCTTTTCACATGTGCCCGAGTCGTGATGAAAACACAGGGTGAGTTAGCAACAAAGTTTACACCGTTTACATTTGACATAAAGTACTGTATAGACACACGCACTGCAGCGCATTACTGTCTGTGGTTTATGAGCAGAGATGGAACAACTCAGTTTTGCTCCCATTGAAAACCATGTAAATCTTGTCTGTTTTGTAGTCAAAAGGCTCTCCTCCTGTGGGTGTACAGGACATATATATATTAGCTCGTAGTGTGAAAAAAATATGTATTTAAGTATCTCACGAAAAAAGTAAAATGAACTGAACTTTGAACTAGTTCAGAATTAAAAATGTGAACTTTGAACGTGAACTGTTCACTTTGAGCATGTATGAACTGAACTTGAACTAGTTCAGAAAAGCTGTGAACTGTGAACACTGTCTATAAGAGACACTCAGAACCAGACACTCAGAACCAGAGACCAGGTCGGACTCGGCCTCATCCAAATCCATCCAAAACACCTCCTTCAGTATTCTCCTTGTCCTTCTTCCCTCTTGCTTGTATTGATCTTTGTGACATAACATTTGACTAAACTTTCATTCAAAGTTTAAAACATGTTTAAATGTTTATATATATTTTTATATTTCTGTCTTTTTAAAGCACGAGGTTTGTTTGACTTTGTCCCAAATGAGAAATGAAAGAGTCAGGGGGAATATGGAACACATGAGTCGACATGTCAGACTGGATCCAGGCTGCGCTCACTTCAATTCCATTTGATTTATGTTTTGCATCGCCCTAAATCACAGCAGCAGTCATCGCGGAGGAATTTACAAAGTTGTCCATTCACCAAAAACAGATCAAAGAACACAAAAATACTGTTCAAACAAATACATGTGAGATCAATGAAGTTTATCTGATCGTATTGGTCCAAAGGGAGAGGGATGACCACTGTGCATACATGTTAATATATGTGTGTGTGTGTGTGTGTGTGTACTTGTGTGTGTGTATTTTTGTCGGTGTGTGCGTTGTACGTCTGTGTGTGTGTGTGTGTCTTTGTATCTATGTCTGTGTGTGTGTGTGTACCTGTGTGTGTATTTGTGTCTGTGTGTATTTGTGTACCTGTGTGTGTGTGTGTGTCTGTGCTTACATGGAAATAAAATTGATTCTAATTCTGATCTGTTTGTGTGGTCGTGCTCGTGTGTGTACCTCTGTGTGTGTGTATGCATACCTACTGTATGTGTGTTTGTGTGGTCGTGCTCTGTGTGTGTGTGTGTGCGTACCTGTGTGTGTATGTGTGTGTTTGTGTGGTCGTGCTCTGTGTGTGTGTGCGTACCTGTATGTGTGTGCGTACCTGTGTGTGTTTGTGTGGTCGTGCTCTGTGTGTGTGTGTGTGTGTGCGTAACTGTGTGTGTTTGTGTGGTCGTGCTCTGTGTGTGTGTGTGTGTGTGTGTACATGTGTGGTGTGTGGTCGTGCTCTGTGTGTGTGTGTGTGTGTGTGTACATGTGTGTGTGTGGTCGTGCTCTGTGTGTGAGTGTGTGTGTGTGTGTGTGTGTACCTCTGTGTGTGTTTGTGTGGTCGTGCTCTGTGTGTGTGTGTGTGTACCTCTGTGTGTGTTTGTGTGGTCGTGCTCTGTGTGTGTGTGTGTACATGTGTGTGTGTGTGGTCGTGCTGTGTGTGTGTGTACATGTGTGTGTGTGGTCGTGCTCTGTGTGTGTGTGTACATGTGTGTGTGTGTGGTCGTGCTCTGTGTGTGCGTGTGTGTGTGTGGGGTCGTGCTCTGTGTGTGTGTGTGTGTGTACCACTGTGTGTGTGGTCGTGCTCTGTGTGTGTGTGTGTGTACCACTGTGTTTGTGTGTGTGTGTGTACATGTGTGTGTGTGGTTGTGCTCTGTGTGTGTGTGTGTGTGTGTGTGTGTGTGTACATGTGTGTGTGTGGTCGTGCTCTGTGTGTGTAGGAGGTGGGCTGTGACTTCGGGATCGACTCTAACGCTGTAGAAGATCGCTGTGGCGTGTGTTTAGGAGACGGCTCCAGCTGTGAGACCGTCTACAAACACTTTGATGAAGGAGACGGCTTCGGTGAGACTCACACACAAACACACAACTTTAAATCATTTTGGATTTTAAACAACAACATAAACTTTAACATGTTCTAAGGGTGTGAAAAAGTTTAATTGGTAAGAATTATATGATTATACGTTGAATCAATTCTAGTGGTAGTAATGGGGGAGATGTGACTGTGCTGCTCAGAGTCGCAGCAGGAGGCCCGTCCCTGTGCTCCTCAGAGTCCCAGCAGGAGGCCCGTCCCTGTGCTCCTCAGAGTCCCAGCAGGAGGCCCGTCCCTGTGCTCCTCAGAGTCCCAGCAGGAGGCCCGTCCCTGTGCTCCTCAGAGTCCCAGCAGGAGGCCCGTCCCTGTGCTCCTCAGAGTCCCAGCAGGAGGCCCGTCCCTGTGCTCCTCAGAGTCCCAGCAGGAGGCCCGTCCCTGTGCTCCTCAGAGTCCCAGCAGGAGGCCCGTCCCTGTGCTCCTCAGAGTCCCAGTTGGCTTGTATGACATGTGGGCGTCTCTGCTCAGACTCCTGCCTCCATGACTCAGATAAAGCAGAAAAACGACTGAAATACGGTCCATTTTCATGACTCCACAATCTGAGGATTTGAGTTTGAAAACAGCTTTTCACAGAAGGGGCGGGGGGACGTGCTTGTGCCAGACTCTCCTGATATTAGCCTGAGTGGAGCTTAGACAACTCCAGGTCTGTTTTGGATGAGGAACAATGATGTAACGTGGATAAAAAACTCAGAAAACGTCTCTACTTTCTGAGTTTACACACTTTGATACAAAACAGAAACTACATTATTAACGTACGGCTTTGATACCTCGGCTTTCGGAACCCGTCAGAATGATGCAGCACAGTTTCTCTCACAGACTTTTACACTCTCCATTGTATTTGACGCCGTTGCCGCGGAAATGTGACTTTGACAGCTGTTTCGCCGACTACAGCTTGTGTGTGTGTGTGTTGCAACGGCAAGACATGAGAAAAACCGCGGTGCTTTCCCGTGTTCTGCTTTGCACAGAGATAATCAACAACATGTCCACATTGTTAGAGAGTCGCTGATTAAAAAGATGTTATATAAACATTTAACTTTGGTGAAATTAAGTTAGTGCTCGGAGCGTTTTGATTGGCTGTCACAGAGACGCGTTCAAAACTCAGGACTCTTGCTGTTGTTTCTTGTTGACGATTTTTAAGAGAAAATATTGTGCGTTATTTGAGATTTTTGGCGTGTTTTAAAATGTGAAATAAGTTGTGTAGAAAATATATGCATAAACTTGTATACTGGACGAATAACTTTAAAATCTATGTATTTTTTTTACAGTCACAAAAACGTTTGCTTCTATCACTAGTTTTTTTATCAAAAAAATATCGTTATTGCGATATTGGTGCTTGTGATACCCATATCGAAAAATATGCGTGATAAAAAATAAATAAGTAAATACATATTTTTTTTATTTATTGATTTATTTTTCCTTTATTAAAAACAACAAAACAGACAGACACATCGACATTCAACAAATACAACAAACAAAAAAGTATATAAATATATGCATTTGAATGTCATTATTGTTTTTGTTATTTGTCTCTTGCGTTTCAATTGCAATTTTAGGTGAAAGAAAAAAATATCGCAATAATATCGTTATCACAATAAACTAGATACTAAACACTCATGTCTAGTATTGCTCTAATTTCCGATATTGTACAGCCCTAATGATACAACCTCCGCTTTGAAAGTGGCTCGTCAACAAAAATCAACACAAAAAAACGCTATTCAGCTTTAAACATGATTATCCAAAAGACCAGACAGTTTTGGTTTTATATTTTCCAGTCCAGGTGAGAAGATTGTGATACTCCATTGGTTAAAATTGGTTCAAGAAAGTGACAATGCTTCTTACTCCTCCCATTTATGAAACTACAAGAACTCCTTTTCTTCCATTTTGACTGCTCCCATTTAAAAACAAAGGAATTCTGAGAAAATCCCCTCAAAATAATAGTATCCACCAGATTTATTAAAAGTAAGTGACTTTTATGTGTTTTTTTTTACTTTTACTCTTTTACTAAGAGCTAAAACTGGTTAAAACAACAGAAAAAAACTGTTTGGTCAAATGCTAGTAAATGCTAACTGCTGCTAGTAAACAGTGTTGCTATGGTAACTATGATCTAATTTCTGGTGGGTAAACAAAAAGGGGGATTTTATCAGCTATAAAAAGTTGGTGGCCGAGGCAAACATAATGGCTATGTTTTATTTTTTTGTTATATGATCACACATATGTGTTTTTTACATGTTTTTTTACTTTTACTCTTTTACTAAGAGCCAAAACTGGTTGCAAAAACTGTTTGCTCAAATGCTAGTAAATGCTAACTGCTGCTAGTAAAGAGCGTTGCTATGGTAACTATGATCTATTTTCTGGTGGGTAAACAAAAAGGGAGATTTTAACTGCTATAAAAAGTTGGTGTCCGAGCAAACAAAACAACTATATTAGAATTTTTGTTATATGATCGTGCATTGGACATAAAAATTCGAGACACATTCACCCAGTGTTAGTGAAATCATAAAAACGGCCTTTTTTAAGAGATGCGCCCAGATGTTCCAGACTTCAAAACAAGTCCTCTCACAAACCATTAAAGTTCAGAAAGTGGCTGTTTTGGCCCCCGCCTCATTCGTTTACAGTAAAACAGGGCACCAGGCCATCGCCCCCCACATGGAGCAGCGTATGCAGCCCGAGCTACCCCATTAAAGATCAGAGGGAGGCGGGCCGGCAGCTGTGTCCCGGGACGTCAGCGAGAGTCAGACTAATCCAATCTGGACCGAGGCAAAGAAACGAGTTGACATGAGGAGAGATCATTATTTGGTGCTTAGATCTCGGGCAAAACGACGTCGAGTCATGTCAGAGAAATGAGAGATATGGGCTGAAATCTCACTTACCCCGGGGCCTAGACATCTGTGAAGTCAATGGACCCCAGAGACGGTGTATGACGAGTGCTGCTATCATCTTTAGTGTTAGCTTTAATGTGGGAGAAGCTGATGTTAACAGACCTCTGAAGCTAAGCAGAAGAAGGGCCTGGTTAGTTCTGTGATGGGAGACCTCTGGGAAACACCAGGTGCCACAGTGGGGCGGCTGCGGCTGTGAAGTGCCAAACTTTACAGCCGCAGTCTTGTCCTTAGGCAAGACACCTCCCCCACTTTGCATAGAATGAGTCTGGTGTGTGCGGGAATGGTTGTTGGTGGTGGTGGTGGAAGGGGTCACTGTGCCCCAGGGCAGCTGTGGCTTCAGTAGTAGTTTATCACCACTGTTTATGGAGTAAAAGAATAATGACATGTAAAGCGTCTTTGAGAGTACAAAAGAGCGCTGTAATAAAACAATTATTATTTTTATCATTATGAGCTAGCTGGAGGGAATTTCCATATATGGGCATTTGTTCGGATGGCATTATCTTTGCGACGTAAAAGTTGCTACGGTAAGCTAGAGATTCCCCTGCGAATAACAGAATCTGATTGGTCAATACTTACATGGCTCAAAAACAATATACAAATAGAAATACCAGGATCACAGAGAACTAGAGTTTGCTTTTTAATGTCCACACGATACAATGGCGCAGTGGTTAGCGCTTGAAGGGGCAAGAAGCTTCTGGGTTCAATTTCACCTCGAGACCCTTCTGTGTGGAGTTTACATGTTTTGTCGGTTTCCTCCAGGTACTGTGGTTTCCCCATAGGACTAAAAGCACGTACAAATAGGAGCAATTAGGATGATAAGTGGATGCATCAAATTGCTAAAATAAAGCTTGCACCCATACACACCCATACCACAGTACACACACTCTCACACACACACACACTGTATCTTGTCTTATTGTATTTGTATTTGTTTGTACGTCTACACTCTTATTGTATGTCTATATTTTCACGTACAATCTATAGCATGTGCCTCTTGGATGACAACCCGGTCCCATCTCTGTGTGGAGTGAGAGACAGATGCTCACAACAATTGTAAAGCTATATAAAAAAAATGTAAAGGTATAAACATAAAGATTACTTACATACTCACTGTCTTATAACTCATAACTGTATAAACCAGAGCAAGGTGGAGAAAAACTTGAGCACTTCCCTAAGCATTGACCTTCACTGAGTACCAAATATTAAATAATTATAATTTGCCTGAAAGCAGTGGTAACTCCTTCATGTGAAACGTATTACAGGCTACATAAACGTGGGGGTGATTCCCGTGGGAGCGCGGGACGTCCTGGTGACGGAGGTGGAGGAGGCGGGGAACTTCCTGGCGCTGAAGAGCCACGACTCGGACCAGTACTTCCTCAACGGGAACTACATCATCCAGTGGAACGGCGAGTACGAGGCGGGAGGCACCACCTTCTACTACGAGAGGAGCGCCAACATGGAGAACCTCACGGCCCCGGGACCCACCACCGAACCGGTCGTTCTGCAGGTGAGCAAAGGAGATGGAAATGTCAGTGTTGCATCGCCAGTTACAAAACAGTACAAACGAACACTCTATACAATATTAAAATGCAAATATGTAACTTTAGCATATGGATCTAGCTTTGGCATAATAAAGAAGTTAGCATAAATACAGTTGAACCATCTCAGAATAGCCTGTTTGTTATTAAAGAGAGAGATTTTAGTGAGATAGAGATAGACCCATGAGTAAGTCACTTTTTGCACATTGCTCATCCATCCATTTTCTATTTAATCCATTGGCTTAAAGAGAAGTTGACATACATTTGAAGAAGAAGAAAAACTTTATTTGAGCATATAAGTTAAAAAAAGAAAGGGCACAAGTCTGATATTTCTGATCAGGTTGTAGTAAAACAGGACTATGGATATGTCTTCTAGCCCCATTTGTTCCACTTTTTTGACAATTTTGTTTATTCCCACACACTTTCGCAGCTTCTGTACCAAGAAAACAACCCAGGGATAAAGTACGAGTACAGCATCAAGAAAACCAAACAGAGCGGGAATGAGATCACTGATGTTCTCTACATCTGGAGACACGGGGCCTGGACGCACTGCAGCGCCACCTGTGGGCTAGGTCTGTAACTGCACTGTGCTCTGCTTAAGGATTTTATCAGGTTATTTTAATACGACAAGTAAAGAAGTCGGTGCTGATTAGTTACCGGACATGTTTCCACCTCTGTCAGGGGTGACACATGAAGGTAGGACTCTTATCAGCTCTTCACTTCAATTCTATGTATCACAACAGCAGTCGTTTCGGTGAACGTGTTGATCTGTTGATGATTCCTCAATAACTGATCAGAGAATCAAACAGTTTGAACACAGGATATACAATAAAAACAAACCCCAAGGAGCCATTGGTCCAAAGGGAGCTGGATAACCACTGTTCATAGATGTTAATTGTCACGAGGTGGGTGAGATGATGGAGGACCCAAATGCAGGAATGCAAAAAATAATGATTTAATAAAGTAAAAGATCAGGTAAAAACTAAACTCAAAATCCAAAATACAGAACCAGGAACACAAAACCAGGAACAAAACAGATGTAGACAATACAATGGACCAGCAACAAGAGGAGAGGAGCACAGGGTACATATAGACAGAGATGCAGGTGAAACACATGAGGGCGGGGCAGACAATCAACACGGGGGAAACAGGACGTCAAAGTCAAACTAAAACCAAACCACAGAGAACATATGTCAAAATAAAACCAAAATACAAAATAAAATCCACACCATGACATTAATAAAGGTCCTGGATCATCATTGTCCTGGATTTGCCAATGAACGACTCAAAAACCCAGTGGGAAAAAGTGAGAATCCTCCTGGAAGTAATAGATCGACTCAGCCTGTAGAACGAGGACTGAGGCCGTGTAGTGCAGAACTGAAGAGGCTCCCAGGTGAGTAGAGGATGTTACCGGATGCGGCCAGTCTGACTGATCTGGCTGATCTGTCAGACTGGCCACGCCCCCTGCTGTGGTGCGGTCCCAAGTGTGAGGCAAGCTGAAGGCCCCCTCGTCCCTGTTGATGGTCTGCGCCCTGCTTCCAATCGCCTCTCATGTGTTATGTTCTGTTTTTGGGAGCGGATTCCTGAGGTTTCCCCATGGACCAATGGCTCCTACGAGTTTGTTACTTGTGCATTTCCTGTGTTCGAGCGATTTGATTCTCTGATCTGGAGAAATTGACAACTTTATTAAGTCCTCAGAGAAAACAGCTGTTGTGATACAGGACAATACATATAAATATTGAATTGAATTGTGTGGCGGAGGTGTACAGCCAAAATATATCAGGTATATTCTTTGTCTAAGATAACCATAAAGCCTTAAGCCTTAAACATAAAATGAAGTTTTTACATTTAATACTGTGATTTTCTGTAGAGGAAAGGTGTTGTTCAAATCTTCCGTAGTCTTAATGTGTGTGCGTTTGCAGGTCAGCAGCATCAGCCTGTGCGTTGTGTGGAGGTCGATGTGGGAGTGGTGGACGACTCCATGTGTAACCCCGAAACACAACCACAAGATAAATACCGAAAATGCAAGAACATGGACTGTCCCGCCAGGTCTGCAGCTGCTCAAACCTCTGCATGGGTTTGAGTCAATTGTTACTTTTTTGGGCTACATTTTTTGTATTGTTTTCAGTCTAAATTAGTCTCAAAAGACTTCAGTCATCGGGCAAAATGTCAAATATGTTTAGGATTATTGTAACTGTTTTTTACACGGTCACAGGCACATTTTGTTCAACTTTGCCATTTTGTGCACGTTTGAGAACTCGACGGCTAACCCTAAACCTAACACAAAATATACAGAGATAAGAAGCTGTGAATACTTATTAATTAGCTGTAGAGCAGAAAGTGAATATCTATGTATCCTGCCTTGGTATGGTATGGTTTGGTATGGTATATAGTATGGTATGTACTGTATTTTGTTTGAACAGGGCCATTCTACAATTGAACATTAACACAAAAGGAGATATGCCTTGTACCAGGCTGTACAGAGGCTAATTTCCACCTGTAGTCCCTGAGCTACAGAATGTTTACCCTTTACTCTATATATGAAGTAGATAAAGGGACATTCAGTGGACGTTCTGAAATTGCACTATTGCACTTTGATGATTGCAGTATTTACCGTTACCAGATCAAAAGTCCTCAGACCGCGCAAATGTTGTAGCCAGTAATGAACAAACGGCAACTTAAGCTGTTTCAGATGTTAAGAAGACAGACATGTGTATTTCATTATATTTTTACCGAACCTCATGTGTGTTTGTGTGTGTGTGTGTGTGCGTGTGTGTGCGTGTGTATTCAATTATATTTTAACCTGGTCCTGGTCCCATGTGTGTGTGTGCGTACATATGTGTTTGTGTGTATTTAATTATATTTGTATCTAACTTGGCCTTGGTCCTGTGTGTGTGTGTGTGTGTGTGTGTGTGTGTGTGTGTGTGTGTGTGTGTGTGTGTGTGTGTGTGTGTGTGTGTGTGTGTGTGTGTGTGTGTGTGTGTGTGTGTGTGTGTGTGTGTGTATTCAATTACATGTGATCTAACCTGGTCCTCGTCCCATATGTGTGTGCGTGCATCTGTGTCTGTGTGTGTCTGTGTGCATCTGTGTGTGTGTGTGTTGCAGGTGGTGGGTCGGCAGCTGGCAGCACTGCACCTCCACCTGTGGCGCTGACGGTGTGCGTTCGAGGACCGTGTTGTGCGTGCGGACGGTGTCTGGAGAAGAGACCGTGCTGCACCCCGTAGAGTGCAAACATCTGCTCAAACCCAAACGCGTCCTCCCCTGCAACCGAGACGTGCTCTGTGGACAGGAGTGGGCGGCCGGCGAGTGGGAGGAGGTAGGCTGCGGTCAGAGCTCCTGCGATCAACAAACAATCTACAAACTGAAACACAACACTTTTGACCTTTTAATCCTTCTTTTTTGCCTGAATGTCTTAAAATCGTCTCCATTTCATTCCCCCCAACACAAGTGTTTAGACAATTTCTCTTTTTTTTCTCTTTTTGACCTTCTCTTCTTTGCCTGGATGTCTTAAAATATTCACCATTTAGTTATCTCTAACACATGGATTTAACAAAGACAAGAGGAAAATGTTTTCTCCTAAAATGATTGTCTTGTCTGGTTCTCATATAAATTCTGTCTCAGCCATAGATATTAATAATGAAAAATCCTTTAGAAAATAATTACAAAATGTTTTGGCCTTTTTCTAAAGCATTCGTCATTTTGTGTTTTAGAATGAAAATGTATATCTTTAGGAGAAAATATATGTTGAAACATGTATCTAGGCTAAATTAGGCTTTTTGCCTGTAACTCCCTTTGCTGCCACCAGAGGGAGACGGTTTTTATTTTTTTCTTCTTTTTTTTTATTTGCTTCTTCCGCATTAAAGGCCAACAACATGGGGGTCATCAGCACTCGGTCAGTCCACTCCTGATACTGTATGTACAGGACTGAGTTTGTAGACTGATGGGGTGGAGTTACTCTATACTGCTTCATTTGTCACAATATACATCAAAAATATGGTTAAAGGCCCCAGTATACATCATAAATATACTTAGAGGGCCTTGTAAACGTCATAAATATGGTTAGAGGCCCCAGTATACACAATTAGGTTAGTGTCATGGATAAACAAGGAAGGACCCAAAAGCAAAACTGCAAAAATTATACAATTAAATAAATGGCAATAAATCAACAGGTAAACAAGAAAAATCAACATTTGACCAACAACAAGAGGACAGACAGGAAGTAAAACTCAAGGCAAGAGCACAAATATATATAAAAATAAATCCAGACAAAATAAGAGTAAGTCCGCACCATGACAGTTAGAGGCATCTGTCAACAATCATAATATGCTTAAAGGCCTTTGTGAATGAAAAGAACCCACACAAACATTTGATTGCAGGTTCAAGGCCTGTATTTCTGGACTCCTTTTTCAATGCATTGTCATTTTTTATGATTTTAATGTTGAACTGTGCCATACAAATAAACTTGCCTTGCCTTGCAGTGCCCGGTCACGTGCGGGGGAGGGGTCCGCTCTCGCACCGTTATTTGCACTCTGGCCCCGAAGAAGCCCTGCGACCCGTCTGGAAAACCTCGCACCAGATCGCTGTGTGGCCTCCAGAGCTGCCCCAACCCTGGCCTGCGCAGACGCCCCGGGCCCCCCCCACCCAAGTACCGCCGTCTCTACCCCCTGCCCCCCAAACGGCAACCCACCAAACCCCCAGACTTCTCCTCCACTTGGTTCCCGACGAGAACCACATCCAAAGCTGGTCCAGAACCCACACAGACTCCCGGGTTTGAGTCTCCCACCACCGCAAACACAACAACAGCAAAGACAGAGTTACCAGACTTAGCCGAGTTCGATTTGATTCCGACTAAGAATAACCCAAAAAGGAGAAAAAACGCAAAAGAAAATTCTAAAAACGCAGTGCAAGAAGACGAGGAAGGGAGTGCGTCCAATGTGGGGATGTATACGCCTGGTTATGACTACATTGTGGAGGATAGACCAGAAGAGGAAATTATCGACTTGGATGTAAAGGCTACGGCGAAAACCGTAAAAGCGAGAAAGTTAGTTACAACAGACAGCTCTCCGGTTAACATGCAGCGCACTAGAGTGACCACTAGGAGTCCCCAGCCTTTGTCAACGCATCGCAATCACAAATATGGCATAATTGTTCCAATCACGACCCCACAGACGGAAAAATCTTTTACTTACGACACAAGGCAAGGGTTCACGCCGACTGTACAGCCGGTAACCACGACAACATGGGTTCAGCCGACCGTGAAGATGGCAAAGCAGAAGAAAACGGCAATAACGGTGAAAGGGAACGCCGGAACGTCGAAGAAGAAGACGCCGCAGCCCAAAGGGAGTCGAACCAAGAAGCAGAATGTCTCCAGTAGTAACCTGGTGGCCAGAGAGACTGTGGTCAAGGACGTCAGCTGGGTGGTCGGAAACTGGAGTGAGGTGGGAAACCTTTATTGATATTTACTGTATATTTTATAGACTAGATGGATGGATAGATAGATAGTATCGGTAAAGAATAGATTTATAGATTGATAGATAGATATAGGTAAAGAATAGATAGATAGGTTAAGAAGTAAATAGATAAGAAGAAGATATAGATAGATAGATAGATAGGTAAAGAAGTAGATAGATAGATAGCACTGGTGTAGATGCACACACTAATAGAATTGTTTTTTTTTTATTTGCCTCTTGGTCAGGACATCCTTGGAGAATTTTCTTTGTTAAATAAGTCAAATGTCTTTTCTCTAGTCATAAGTCCTCATAAGCCTCCCCTGGTGAGTGCTTGCGTGGCGTTGGGGGTAACTCTGGTCCCATATTGTGTCCAGTGCTCGACCTCCTGTGGCGTTGGGGCCATGTGGAGGACTGTGGTCTGCAGCTCTCAGAACGACAACGACTGTTTGGTGACAGAGAGACCGGAGCCGGCGAGGACCTGTAACCTGCAGCCGTGTGCCGCCTGGGAGAGCGGAGGCTGGAGCAAGGTGACCCACTGCTGACCATACTTTAAATACTCTGGCCTGGGAAGAGGGGCTAAAGGAAGCATTGATTACTTTAGTTTAGTTTGGGTTGTTGCTGCCAAAATTAACTTGAATGACAGAATGGTTTAGCGGTATGAAAAAAATACATTTAAACATCTATCCAATCCCAAGAGCTGTTAAACTTGTAAGAACCAACTGTATTATAGACGTACATACTGTTTCTTTGCAAATTCTTCTTGCTCTATGTGCTGCTAAGCCCAAGTAACTTCCCTCGAGGATGGATAAAGTAGTCCTGGGGTGTCAAACTCAGGCCCGTGGGCCAAATGCGACCCGCAAGACCATTTTTAGTGGCCCCTGAAATGATTTTCAATTGTCATTTTTACAGTAATTTCGTAACATTGATGGTAACTTGATGTTAAAGGTTATTTTCTCTCCTAAAATGCTAATAAAAAAACACATTTTCAATTAATTAGAAGTTAAGTTAGGGCAAATATGTTTTTTATAGTTCACAGTCTTTTTGGTTTTTGGCACAATTGTGGTTGAATCAAAACCTACCAGAAAGTAACGTCCATCAGATAAAACAAATAAGTCAAAATACAAAAATATGTAAAAATATAAATAATGAGAAAATCACTTTTCTTCTTTTGGCCCAAACCAGCTCTGACCGTTTTTAATTTGGCCCCCGACAAGAATGAGTTTGACAGCCCTGAAGTAGTCTTTCCAAATCTTTAGTAAATATATATATTTTTCTGGTGCTGGTGGGTGATGGTTGCTGGTTTCTCGCCTCAGTGTCCAGAGGATTGTGCTGTGGCGGCGCGCAGACACCGGGACGTCCTGTGTGTGGATTCTCAGAGCGGGAAACCTCTGAGGCCTTTCCACTGTCAGGCTCAGTCCAAACCCATCAGCTCTCTCTCCTGCCCCAGGAAGCCGTGTCTGCCCTGGACCACCTCCCCCTGGGCTCCGGTGAGTGCAGACAAACACTCCTGACCATGTGACAATTCGCCCATTATCTTCCAAGACGATAAGTGCGTCACATTATCGAGGGGGTGATGTGTTCTAAAAATAACCTGCAATAAGTGAAATCCGTGATATAGCAGCTGTATGTTTTAAGGCTGTAAAACCCTCACACACGCTTTATACACTTTTCTAACCATCTGAACTCACGGCTGCAGAAGTGAGAGAGACCAGAGAGAGAGACCAGAGAGAGACCAGAGAGAGACCAGAGAGCGAGACCAGAGAGCGAGACCAGAGAACGAGACCAGAGAGCGAGACCAGAGAGCGAGACCAGAGAGCGAGACCAGAGAGCGAGACCAGAGAGCGAGACCAGAGAGCGAGACCAGAGAGCGAGACCAGAGAGCGAGACCAGAGAGCGAGACCAGAGAGCGAGACCAGAGAGCGAGACCAGAGAGCGAGACCAGAGAGCGAGACCAGAGAGCGAGACCAGAGAGCGAGACCAGAGAGAGAGACCAGAGAGAGAGACCAGAGAGAGAGACCAGAGAGAGAGACCAGAGAGAGAGACCAGAGAGAGAGACCAGAGAGAGAGACCAGAGAGAGAGACCAGAGAGAGAGACCAGAGAGAGACCAGAGAGAGAGACCAGAGAGATCAAACCTGCTGGTTTGGACGAAGGGGCAGGACGATCCAAGATGGCGTCCTATTCAAATGAATGGCTTGTGCTCAGTGGTGCATGTGCCATAATGGGGACTGAAAGATTAGTGGAAGTCGCCCATATTTGGGCATCATCTGGTCCTCCCGGTTCTGCACAGTGGACGAGTTCCCATGATGCTTTGCTCCTGATACGCGTGTGTGGCTCGACCATGCTTTGACCAATCAGAGCTGCTGATCAGAGTGGAGATAGAGCTAGATTGTAGACTTAGAAAACCGAAGGATTAAACAAGAAAAAAAAGTTCAGGACAACAAGGGACTCTAAAATCTCCACAAAATCCAATCTTTATGAAAGCTGTAGGTTCTCTGTCAGGTTCTCTGTGAGCTGAGGTCGAGCTGTTTAAGTTTACATTGTGTTCCATGGGACATTTTTCTGGGTAGCCCACGTGAATTTAGTCTGCAAAATGCCAAATAAACTGAATCTGGATTGAAATTGTATGATGCATTTAATAAAAGATCAAGTATCTGGTCAACATTCGACAGACACATTGGTCATTGTCATTAATGAACATTACTCACTCACTCATAAACGGCTTCTAAAACATAAACCTTATTCTCTCAGTGTTCGAGAAGCTGCGGTGACGGGGTTCGAGATCGACTTGTTTTCTGTCCTGAACCGAAACGCTGCAGCGACGCCGTGAGACCGAGCAGCTCCTCGCCGTGCAACCTGCAAATCTGCTCTCACTGGACACACTCCGACTGGAACCAGGTGAGAAGGTCTTTTGTCACCGAAGTCCAGGGAATGTACCTCATTTTGACCACAACATTTGAATACACATTTTAGTATTTTAATCACAATGAATAATGTCTGTGAGCTGTCCAGAACAACACACTTATTGTCTGAATACATTTTTCTGAAAGGATTTTAGTCTCAAATGTCAGAAAAAGTAAAAAATAAAATCTTTATTTGAGAGACATGTCATATGAAATGTCTTGTTTGAACTAAAATGTGAAAATACATGAATTTACTCAATTACAAAAAGGCTCCTGAATTCCCATTTCTCCTACGGGGATCAATAAAATATCTATCTATCTTTCTAAATAAGGGTATTTCAATCTGGAGAGACTCGAACAGACAAAACATGGGTATTATTAGAATTGTATATTGTTTGGCAAAAAATCTGAATATTTTCAAGATTACATAATCGTTGCTGTACAGAAATGTGGTTAGGATTTGGCGCTTAGATCCCAATAGAGCACTGGACGATTTCAGAACGAGAAAGAGATTATGAGATGAAATACCCCGGGGCCTGGACACAGGTGGTGGAAGCTAGGAGAAGGATGAATGAGCTGGAGATGGGGAGGAGGAGGGTTGCGGCATGAATGAAGCTGCTGTTTGGATGGACGTTCCTTGCGATATGAAGCTTGATGCTTTGAGGCTAATGAGTTGATTAGAAAGTGAAATAATTAGGTTTTGAGCTTTAATCTGTATCTGTACATGTGTGTGTGTGTGTGTGTGTGTGTGTGTGTGTGTGTGTGTGTGTAGTGCTCAGTGAGTTGTGGTGCAGGAGAGCAGCAGCGTGACGTCACCTGCACAAACACAGAGGACGAGTCTGTGATGGAGGACGATCTTTGTCAAACTGCAACGAAACCCGTCTCTGTCAGAAAGTGCAACGACCACGAGTGTAAAGACATCCTCGGTATGTGTGTGTGTGTGTGTGTGGCTGAAGATCCAGGACTGAGGCTGTAGATCCAGGACCGAGGCTGTAGATCTAGGACCGAGGCTGTAGACCCAGGACTGAGGCTGTAGATCCAGGACTGAGGCTGTAGATCCAGGACTGAGGCTGTAGATCCAGGACAGAGGCTGTAGATCCAGGACTGAGGTTGTAGATCCAGGACTGAGGCTGTAGATCCAGGACCGAGGCTGAAGATCCAGGACAGAGGCTGTAGATCCAGGACAGAGGCTGTAGATCCAGGACTGAGGCTGAAGATCCAGGACTGAGGCTGTAGATCCAGGACCGAGGCTGTAGATCCAGGACCGAGGCTGTAGATCCAGGACTGAGGCTGTAGATCCAGGACTGAGGCTGTGGATCCAGGACTGAGGCTGTAGATCCAGGACTGAGGCTGTAGATCCAGGACTGAGGCTGTAGACCCAGGACCGAGGCTGAAGATCCAGGACAGAGGCTGTAGATCCAGGACAGAGGCTGTAGATCCAGGACTGAGGTTGTAGATCCAGGACTGAGGCTGTAGATCCAGGACTGAGGCTGTAGATCCAGGACTGAGGCTGTAGATCCAGGACTGAGGCTGTATATCCAGGACTGAGGCTGTAGACCCAGGACTGAGGCTGTAGATCTAGAACTGAGGCTGTAGACCCAGGACGGAGGCTGTAGATCCAGGACTGAGGCCACTATAATTGTGTTGTAACCCTCTCTTTTTTATTCTCAGGCTCTATCTGTAAGAAAAACACCATGTCTTCTCGCTTCTGTGACAAACTAAAACTTCTGGGTCGCTGCTCTCTGCGCTCGGTCCAGAAACAGTGCTGTGTCACCTGCGGACCCTGACCATAAAGAGCTTTTTTGGCAATGAACTCTGGGTAAACGAGACAATCCACCCCCCGACCACGACTGCAGCTGTTGTTCAGAGACTGGGGCTATTTATAGAAATCTTTTGTACAATATTGTGTTTTTTTTAACAGATGAATTAGTCCAAAAGGATAGCCAGGCTCAAGCGCACTGCAAAACAAGTATTCTGGATGGTTTTAAAACTCGGACTCTTAGAGCAGTCGATTTGACGGCTTTTCATTTTGTGTAAATTCTTTGCCTATGTACGATTTTGGTTTTCATAACTTTGTGACTTTTTCTATTTCTATCCGTAGTTTATTTCTTTGTCATTGTGGTTTTTTAAATTAACTCAACCTTAGACTGATTCAGAAAAATCTCAGTTTAGAGGTGTGTTGCTTGTTACCGTAGCAACACACCATGCTAACTGATGCTAATGCTTCTATCAGTTAGCATTTAGTTTTGTTTTGTTTCATTCATGCTAAACAATTTTAGCATGTGTTAAAGATGAACAAAATGTAGGAAAAACTTAATCTTAAATGTTTTGATTTTCTCAGAATTCCGTTCATTTAAATGGGAGCCGTCAAATTGACTGCTCTGGGAGTTTGAGTAGTTTCTGGGAATTCTGGGAGCCTGAGTGTTTAAGGACAAATTAGCTTTTTTATTGAGTGACGTCTGTGACATCACACTCAAAGCAGTTTTCTGTCTTTTAAAACTAAATTATTGCCGGTAATTGGTTTTGGTCATTATTCCGGTGAAATGACATGTGTTTTGCCAATTATCAAATTTTGAGCAAAAGCCAATTCTTCCTCTCCCTCTGCTGGTCGCATGGGGAGTAACAAACTGATAGAATTCTTTACGATCTCCCACTTCTACCACTAGATGGAGCTGTTTCACCACTCAAATCGTTTCCTTTTCCATTATACATGTTTATCCAGATTATGCTGGAGTAGATTTTTTAAGGCCCAAATAAACGCAAATAATGCCCAATTTTCCACCAAAGGAACCAGGATTTTTTCTTGATTTTTCATTCAAAACAACATCACAAACACAAACACATTTCTTATAAAGGTTTTTTTTTCTCATTTTTTGTGTAGACATTTACTTATTCTATATTTGCAGTCATTTTAACACCAAGACTCAAAGAATTCCTAAACTTCCAGAACTCCCACAGCCGTCATTTTGACTGCTCCCATTGAAAACAAAGGAGTTCACGTTTTTAAAAGAAAAGATAATTTTATAATATAAAATAAACTTCATAAAGAAACAGGAAAAGTCTCAAAGTTATGAAGAACAAAAAGCCGTCAAATTGACTGCTTGACCATGTGTTTTGCAGAGTGGTACTCGGTCACTTTTATGGTACTTTTCTTGACTAATCGCTAAACAGAATGTACGTACTGTAAATAATGTGTTTTTAGATTTGGTCAAATGTTTATAATCTTGTATTTGGTAAAAGGTGCTTTTTTTTATTTCTCTGACGCTTTCGGGATGTTTTGGTTCAAATCTGGACCAACTTTTTGTTCGGTAAAAAATGTATAGAACTGTGATTTGTCTTGTTTTTCGCTCTGACTCATCGATTTCAGACTTCAAAAACCTTCATCTGCCCCCACAGACTGCAAATCAAACTATTATACACACTGCATGCGGTGATAGTGGCTTGAATTAAAGCTGGGGGACCTGACTTTCTCGTGTCGTAAATAATTTATGTTTGACAGAAAGAGTCAGACCACAACATGCTGTAAGGAAGAACCCTGTGAGTCACTCTTTGACTCTTTGGGCTGAGAGCTGATTGGTCGAGGGAGGAGGGGGGTCCTCTAGTTTTCACTTTTCTATCTCAAAAAGTTGATCTAAAGTCAAAAATATGTGCAAACGCAAACTGTTTTTAGAGCGAGGAACTAATGACATTGGTTAATTTCTATGTTTGAAAATTACATTGCCCTAGTCATGTGTGTGTGTGTGTGTGTGTGTCCATGATTATGTGTGTGCGTGCATGTGTGTATATATGTGTAAGTGTATTTGCGTGTGTGTGCGTCTGTGTATGAATATCTAAGCATATTTGTGTGTGTCTGTATGCATGTAGTATTTGTGTGTGTATAAGTTTGTGTGTGTGTGCTTGTGTATAAGTATGTGTAAGTATTTGCGTGTGTGTGTGTCTGTGTATGAATATCTTAAGTATATTTGTGTGTGTCTGTATGTATGTAGTATTTGTGTGTGTATGTATAAGTTTATGTGTGTCTTTAAGTGAGCGTGTGTGCCCATGTATGCGTGTGTGTATTTGTGTGTGTTTGTGTGCTTATCCACTGTCAGGATTGCACTAAAAGCTGCATCAGTTAAACACCTTACATTTAGTTGCGGTTTTAAATTCAGGTACCCCAGCTTTAATAACTTGGGTTCATCACAGACCGAGGTGTAGCGGGTCTTCTCTCTCAGGTCGCCTCTGTGAAAAAACACTTAACTACTTTCTACTTCTTCAATAAATGTGAGAGTTTACCCTTTAGATGCCAACGTTTTTCTTTTTTTTTCCAGAAATGTCTTTATAACTTAAAGGTGCAGTTAGTGATGTTGTTAGCTTAGCCGTAGCACCAACTGGAAACCACTCCCCCCTCCCCTCCCTCTCCACCAAACCAAACATCCAGCATTTTCTTTTCTTTGTCACAACAGAGAGAGTTGGCAGCAAACGTGAAATTGACATTTTCTATTTTAGGTTTTAGTAAATCCGATAACTCCGGTGCACTCGTGAGAAACAGGAAGAGGGTGAAGGGGGTAAACACATCCCTTAACCCTCATTTTTATTGGTCCGCTCCAAAATATTTTGTATTAATTTTGGCAGACTATAGGCATCTGGTTAATTCCATTACTATTTGAAACCACATGATAACTTGAGAACTTTTAGGGTTTAGGGACGTTTTCACACAATGTTTAAAAAATGCGTCTGGAAAAAATCACTGACTGCTTTTTTCATAAAAGACCGTGGACTATACTCACATTGATCATGGAAATAGAAGAAAATGATGTACAAAAAATCTTGGGAGACGTTTGTGCGAAGACAAGTCTCTGTATACGTGTCCTGGATTTCAGACGTTATAAGGCCATACCCATCAGACCTATGAAGCAAAGAAGGGCAGGGCCTGGTTAGTGCTGTGATGGGAGACCTCTGGGAACACCAGGTGCCACAGTGGGGCGGCTGTGGCTGTAATACAATACAATACAATTTATTCTTGTATAGCCCTAGGTCACAACAGAAGTCATCTCAGAGACTTAACAAAACCAATGAGAGCATCAACAGTTAAAACACATGAAGAATATAAAGCACACACAGAAGAAAATGTCCATACATGTTGTAGAATGCTAAAGTGTCCTGATCATCACCAATCCTTTCTGTTGGACACTAACTGTCCAACAAGACCCTCCTGCATCGACAAGGAAAAACTCTTAAAAAACCCAGTGGGAAAAAGTGAGTAAACCTTGGGGAGAACTAGGGAAACCCACAGGGAGGGAGACCCATTTGAGAAAGGGATCCGCTCCTCCGGACGGACAGGCTAATGATCCAGGACCTAAGCTAGCTACAGAACGTGGACCAGTGGCCGCTGAACGTGGACAGGTCCGGTGCAGGACTGAAGCACTCCCAGGCGGGTCGGGCGGGGCAGTCCGCAGGTGTAGATGGAGGAGGCCAGGCTCAGAGATCCCGTCATCGTACCATGAAACAGACAATGGGACAACGGGTGAATAGCAATGAACAAACTACAGTCAAAATCCTAAAAATGCTAAACAGATAAAGTAGGAAGGAGGAGAGGATAGTGTTCAAGTTACCATACTTCTCCAGCAGGGGGCTCCCTATGCAGCTTGACTGACAGTCTGAGGAGTTTAGCCTTCCCTGAGTCTTACCTTCCTAGCCATATGCTAAACTAAAGAGGACTGTTTTAAACCTAGCCTTGAATAAAGAGAGCGTATCTGAAAGGAGGTGAGACAGCAGCAGCCACGGCTAGGCTAGTCTAGGTTACAGCACCAAGATTCATGGATTGCACACCAGGTGTGCCAAACTGTGGCTGTGTCCTTAGGCAAGACACTTCCCCCACATTAGAATGAGTCTGCTGTGAATGGTTGGTGGTGGTGGTGTGAAGGGTTGATGGCTGTCAGTGTGCCCCAGGGCAGCTGCGGCGACAGTAGTAGTTTTTACGTGTCTAAAAACGCCTTGTAGAAAATCGTTTTTGAACTAGTTTTTTCTGCTACTTTGGCACCTACGATTGTAAATTGGCCGTGTGGCGAAGCCCGTGTGCTGGAGCCAGCTCGGTTTCAGGGATCGGGTTGAGGTGGCCCAGATTTCGGAGTTGATCCAGAAAACCTGACACGACCACACACTCCGCTGTCGTCGCAGAGCTGGTCCGAGTCCGGGGTTAGTCAGCACAATCGCCTTACATAAAAGAGAAAGACCGGAATGGGAATACTATTGTTCAATCCTCTTTCTTGGTTTGGGTTTCAGGAGGGTCTAAGCAGGGGTCTCCAACCACTAGCTTGGGAGCCACCAGTAGCTCACCACCCCCTTCCAGGTAGCTCACCAAAGGATTTAGAAATGAACAAATCAAATTCACCACAAATTCAAATCAAATGGTATTATTCATTATCATAATCATTTGTTGTAAATGCACTTACTTTGTCACTAGTAACAAATATACAATGACTGTTGCCAGGGGCCGCTGAAAGGAGTAGCTCTCTGCCTTTTTCTATTCCGGGAAAGTAGCTCTCTGGGTGCAACAGGTTGGAGACACCTGGTCTAAAGACAGTGGTGATGATCCAGGACATTCAACCACATTATGGACATTGGTCGTCAGCCCCTAATCGACAAATAGCTCTGTGTTTTTTTAATCATTGCACTTCCTGGGTTTGAAGTGTTTGATTCTCTGATCTGTGTTGGCGAATCGACAGTTTTGAGTTCACTACTGTTGAGATTTAGGGCATTGAATTGAGCTGAATTTAGATAAGAGTTCTTTCATTCGTCCCACTGCGGAGAAATGTCCAATTGTTATATATTTTTTCATCGGTGAGTGAGAAAAAGAGTGGAAACTAAACACACAGCAGACGTACAGGTGAGACCATAGACTGTAAATATAAGGAAGGAAGGAAAACCCAGTGGGAAAAAGAGAGGGATTGGGAAACAACTATGTTACAGAACAAAATATACAGAGATTAATCATAGACTTTAAATATTAGTCATATATGTGAGATTAAAAACATAAATTATAATTCATGTTTTTAATTGATTTTGACCAGATTTGCCGATGGGACAAGAAATAATCAGTGTTTTTCTAAATGCAGCTGCAACATTTCTCATTCCAACAGAGAAGTTATTCTTAAAACAAGACTTTTTTTGACAAATCTGGTTTTAAGACTACATGTTTTTACTTTCAACACAAATTCAAGTAAAACATCTGAGTGTAGTTCTTTATGGCTGAAGTTAATGCATTTAATCTATTCTTTAAGACATATTCTAAAAATCTTGGCTTGTTTTCCATTTTTTTTTTGCAGTCCGTCTTTCAGAATCTCAAACAAAAGTCTTGTATTTCACCATTGACCAAACCTGGAATCATAAATAATGACATAATCCCAACACAGATCCACGCGGTCATACCAGACGTCATGATTTTACCTCCTTCCCAAAGAACAGGACGAATAATAAGACAAATATTCACTTTCATCTCAGAGCTCGTCCTCAGACTGAAAGTGACGCTGGGATCGGAGTCGGGGCGTCTCCATTTCAAAAGCATTGTCCACATGACTACCTTTGAAACCTCCTCCGACTTCAAAGCACTGTCTGAATAATACATGTTTATGAGCTACACACTACACAACTTTGCCCAATTTGAACTTCGCACACACAATAAAGTATATAGGTTTAGCTTTACTGTTACACACTGCCAAAGGTGAGGAGATTTAGTCCGAAAATGCTAAAATTTGGCTAAAATGTATTGTCATTTGAGTGCGTTCTGACTTTTCCAATGGGACAAAGCTAAATTATCTTTTTTTTTAACACAGTCAGAATGTGCTAAAATTTAGATGAAAACCACTCGATTTAAGCATTGGCCTGAAGGTTGTGGGTTCGAGGCCACCACAAGACCTTCTTCACGACTCCCATTGATGTCTGCTGTCATTGTGTCCTTGGGCAAGACACTTAACCCCACTTTGCCTGAAGCCCCCACTGAAAGATCTCAGCTCGTGTGGACTCAGCACCTGCAGGAGGATCAGTCAGGGGCTGGATTAAGGGGAAGAAAATGGATGGATGGAAGAAAAAAAAAAGTAGTTATTGATGGGTTTTTGTGTCTATGTGTGTATTCAGTCTTTTTTCAAGAACTTTTGCTTTATTTTCTCATTCCAAGGAAGACATTTCTTGTATCTTTTTAAAACAAGATCATTTTGCTTTGTCTCGTTGGAGAGTTTTAAAGCTCATTCAGAACATGCTCATCCTGTTGTAATAAAATTGTGGCCTATACACTGCAAAAAGTGATGAAAAATAAGTTTAAAAGTTGCTCAAATTTGGCAAAAAGTATCTTTATTTGAGCACATGTAAAGGGTTGCAGGAAATGTCTCCCTTGGAATGAGAAAATGTGGCAATAGTTCTTGAAATAAAACTAAACGGCTTTGTCCTATTGGTGAATCTTGTTTTAACAGTCAGAATGTTTCAGATTCAGATAAAAACCTTCGATTAAAGCAATTATTACTTCATAAAATCATTTGTAGCAGTGTGTAATGAGTCCAAAGTGAATCATTCAGGATCGTGTGGGGCGCGACCTGAAAGACACTGGCGAGATCCCAGAGGCTGAAGACTAAAGCAGTGCATTCTGGGAGCTGTTTGTGTGTCATTGGCCTCAAACTCGAGCGAAAGCGCTGTGTGTACGTGGGTTTTTATTCCCAAACAGCTGGATTTGAGTTCAATTCAAATAGCTTAAGTGGAAGAAAAGAAAATTGCTGCAGAAAGAGCCATAAAATTACCTCTGGAGCGAGAAACACAACATGATTTTGACTCTGGTCCAAGGCACAGAACTGACTTTACACCTCCTGCTTTTTACACGTCCTCTTCAGATCCAGAGAGTCCAGAGACAAGGTGCTGGGGGAGCGGGAAGGACGCGATTCTCCCATTTTTATCCTAACATTTGACCAAAATTGGATTAAACAAATGTGTACAGATTTCAAAATGAGCTTGTAAACAATATAGTACAAGAATCTACAAGAATTCTGCTTCGACCTTCTCCTTTTGAGCTTTGTTGCTTCAAATGTTATGTATCTGTAAAAATACATTGTAAAATTGCTACGATGTACTACAAAAATCAAAAAGTGACACTTAGCGTTCATGTGACATCACAATGTTCCGAAGTGCCTATGGTTTTACAATGTGGTGGAGAGAGCTGAGACATGTGTAACTGTGGCAAGTGTCAAAATTCTAGTTTTAGTTTTGGGTTCATTTCTCTGTATTTCCTGAATAGCGTTATTTGTAAAAAAAAAAAACAGTTTATACACACTGCAACCAAAGACAAGAAACATTGAAATAACAGTCGTTAAAATCATCAATAATCACGAGATACAATCCTTCAGCTGTTGCAGCGAAAGAGGTCTGTTTTTAACCTGGATTTGAACATCGTCAGAGAAGAAGCCTGTCTCACAGTTTCAGGAAGACTGTTCCAAATTTTACCTGCGTAACTCTGATATGCAGCCTTCCCATGTTTGGACCAATACCATGTGGTCTCTCCTTATGGACCAATACCATGTGGTCTCTCCCTATGGACCAATATCATGTGGTCTCTTCCTATGGACCAATATCATGTTGTCTCTCCTTATGGACCAATACCATGTGGTCTCTCCTTATGGACCAATACCATGTGGTCTATATATTTTGTGTCTTAACTGTTGGATTCTTTGATCTGTGTTGGAGATTTCTACAGTTTTGTAAAGTCCTTTGAGATAACTACTGTTGTGATTTAGGGCTGTACAAGAATACATAGATTTTTATTGATTTGATGGTACTTCCTGGTTCTGGTCTGGACTCTTTGAACTCCCAGTTTCCTCCTCTCACCTCACTTTGCCTCCGTCACTTTGCCTCCGTCACTTTGCTCCAGCGTGTGACCTGTGAGCGAGCGCTGCGTGTGTAACCGACACTCGTAAATGGAGATGATGCAAGCGCTTGTTGGGGACCGGAGAGAACACGACAAACACCATTCCATCGTCGTGAAGAAGGAAACTGCCACATCACCGCCTCGGCCGCCTCGGCCACCGGACACCTCCGCCACAACATCAAATATTTACCTCTGATGACCGGCAGAAAAGACGGCGATGGAGGACGTGATGCAAGAGTGTGTGAGAGTGTGTGAGGCGAATCCAACAGGGCAGGGACCACGACTACCAAAGCCACTACAGGGGACACCTTACCCATTGACTGCCATTGACGTATTTGTCTGAGACCCTCTTTTCGACTGGGGATTACAGGACAACAAAAATAGCTAGAAACAAACTTATTTTTGCTGATCAAAGTAGACAATCCAGTCTTTCAGAATCTGGGTTCATATTTTACATAGTCAAAGGAAATAATATTCTGTGAGTCTTGAGAACCAGTGAAATCATCAAAAACTGGCTGGCAGTCAATTTAACATTAGGACACCCAGAGCAGTCAATTTGACGGCTATAGCAGAAGTCGGACCACATGTGTCCACTGTCCCTTTGTCCCAGACATGCAGCTGACAATCATAAATATGTTTATTATTTGCACAAGAATATACATAATTTTTTCTCTTCTTTGCGATGCTAGTTGGAGATTTTATAATTGCTTCTTTATTAAATTATAGGAAGAAAAAAACGGTGGCTGAGTAATTAGCAAGTTCTCTGCAAGAAGGTCCTGGGTTTGAATCCCAGTCAGAACAGGGTCTTTCTGAGCGGAATTTGCATGTTCTCCCTGTGTCCGCTCCGGTTTCCTCCAGGTACTCCGGTTTCCCCTACCCCTAACAATATGTACAGTAGGTAAACTCCTCCAGCTCTGGTCCTGACCAAGCCGAGCATCAGCATCTGGAGATGGGTTCCCGGGCGCTGTTACTACGGCGACCACTGCTCCTGACGTAAGCCTTAGTGGCACCAGGATGCGTTTAAAGTGAACATTTACATTTTACATTTAAAGTTAGAGATTTTAGACTTGCTTCATTATTATGCTAAAGTCAGAGATGTTATGCTATTATAGAGTAAATGTTCATCTTGTGTTGTGTGCTCCTCATTCCTACTGTTCTGTAAATGATAATAAAACACTGAATTTTCCCCACTGTGGGACGAATAAAGGATCTCTTCATCTTCGTCTTCATCTTAATCTTAAAATCACGTTGACGAGCCAAAAAGATCACAACAGAATAATAATAATAATACATTTATTTAAACTGCACCTTACATTTCCTCAAAACCTGAAACTATACCAACAGTTCAGATATTTCTTGTTGAGTAAAGTCTTAAAACCACATGGTCCGTCCCCAAAAGGTGGTCCTCATCTGGAGCCCATCACCCTGCAAGTCCTGGGGGTGAGGAGGGGTGAGGGGGGGTGAGGCTGGCATCCTGGTACCAGACTGAGCTCTAATTAAAGCCTCCCTCGGACCGGTCTCACACACTGCAAAAACTTTAATGCAAATGTCTATATCAATTTGATTTCATTTGTCTTGATTCCAGCCGCTTCTGTCAACTGAAAAAATAAATAAAATAGAAGGTAATTTAATCTTTTTTCTCAAACACACACACACACACACACACACACACACTGACTGGAAAGCTCAATGAGAAGCTACCTAACAACAACACATAGATACATATTTACACAGATTTGCAAACAAAAATATCACGTTTGTAGAAAAAAAAATTATGGTAATACATTCTTGGATGAAGTTTATCTAATTTGAGTTCTGACCCTGAACTGGTCGTGGACTGGGTCTGGAATGGCCCAGAACTGGTCCGGTACTGGTCCTGGAATGGACTAGTTCCGAGTCAGTTTAGTTTTTGACCAGAGTCCTAGTTACCGTAGCGACACACTGTTTACTGCCAACAAACTATTTCTTGCTGTTATACAAAACCAGGACAGAGGTTCAGCCACAAACGAGGGATAGATACACCAATAATTACATTTGTACTTCAGGGGTCGTTATAAAAGCACAAAACACACAAAAACAAAGAGAATCAGACACTTCCATGAAGAGCTCAGACTGAGAAGTAAAGTTAAAAACAACAGATAATTGACTAAAGCAGGAGTCGTTTATTTGAACGTTTTATAAATCCATAAAGTGCTCGGGCTTTTCGTTTGTTGGTGCAGATGTGGATCCTCAAAAGAAAAGATTCGTTAACAATAAAGTGATAATTATGTCCTGGATACAACTGTTCAGAGAAATACAGAACAACTCAGGGGAAAAATGTGGACAATAGTCCTGTTTCCACCAGCTCTACTTGGCCCAACTCTACTCTACTCTACTCTACTCTACTCTACTCTACTCTACTCTACTCTACTCTACTCTACTCTACTCTACTCTACTCTACCCTACCCTACCCTACTCTACCCTACTCTACTCTACTCTACTCTACCCTACTCTACTCTACCCTATACCCTACTCTACTCTACCCTACTCTACCCTATACCCTACTCTACCCTACTCTAATCTACTCTACCCTACTCTACTCTACTCTACTCTACCCTATACCCTACTCTACTCTACCCTACCCTACTCTACTCTACTCTACCCTATCCTACCTACTCTACTCTAACCTGCCCTTCTCTACCCTACTCTACTCTACCCTAGCCTACCCTACCCTACCCTACTCTACTCTACTCTACTCTACCCTACCCTACTCTACTCTACTCTAACCTGCCCTCCTCTACCCTACCCTACTCTACGCTACTCTACTCTACCCTACCCTACTCAACTCTACTCTACCCTACCCTAGCCCAACCTACCTACTCTACTCTACTTGACCCTACCCAACGCTGCTCTACCCTACTCTGACCTACCCTCCTCTACTCTACTCTACCTTTGATAACACTTTTTCTCTGTTAAAGAGAAAAGGCTATGGTCATATAGTGTGTCATGACGCTGACTCCCGGTGACTGCTGATTTTTTTCCGGTGTTTCCTCGTCACCTCGTCATCTGATTGGCTACACGGCGCAGTCCACTGGCAGCGAGCTCGTCTGACCCCGGAGGACACCACACACGAAGAGTAATCGGGCCAAAACAGATCGGACCGTTCTTAAGATTGTCATTAGGGGTAAATCGAGTCTTACATCGGCCTAATTATCCGGCCGTATGAACCAGGCTTCAGGAGACACAGCTGAGACACATGTCGGCGGGGCATCAGGAAACAGGAAGTAGAACTAAGGAAGACACAGAAAAAACAAGTTTCAAAATAAAACTGTAAATAAACATACATCATGACAACAAGCATTTTTAAAGTCTATTCTCTGAGCCACAGGAAGCAGAGATCTAAGACCAGGACTAATGTGGTCCTACGTCCTGGTTCTGGTCAGGACTTGAGCTGCAGTGGTTTTGAATAAAGGTTTAGTGAATCTTGTCTTATCTTGAAAAATGTTGGGAAGCACAGGTGTAGAACAGAAGAGAAAAACAACTATCACATGGTCAACAGCTGCGGAAAGTCCATTTTTCATCATGTTTTGTTTTGTTGACTCCACACTGCAAAAAAATGATGAAATGTGAGGTAATAAATGGTTTTTGTCATTAAGTTCAGATTCTCCAACGGGACAAAGCCATTTAGTCTCATTTCACAAACTTTATTTTCTCATTCCAATCGACCCATTTCATATCTTTTCTCCCATTGGCAAATCTTGTTTTAAGGCAGAGTCAGAATGTGCCCAGATTAAGACACATTTTGCCAAATTTGAGCCATTTTTAACTTATTTTTCATCACGTTTTGCAGTGCACCTATACCTTCAGACCAGTCGTCGTCCTACACTGCAAAAAGTGATGAAAAATAAGTCAAAAATAGCCTTTTCCTCATTTCTTCACTTCTTTTAGGATTTTTTTTTTGCAGTGCCAGGGAGCACACAGACACACACACTGACACACACACGCACACACACACACACACATGGCTCCCAGAGGACACACTGCTTGTTTGTGAGTCCTGCTTTTGATTCCGGCTCAGACCACATATGGACCAGAGTCGGACCGAGTTGACGAGAATCTCTTTATTCTCGGTAGAACATCTGCCTAATGAGAGAACGACGCACAATCTGCCTAATGATAGCACAACGCACAATCTGCCCAAGGATAGCACGACGCACAACCCACGTTCGGGGCAAAATCCTGAGACACATGACGCAAAAACTATCACTTCATTACGATGAGAGAGAACAGCTTTAGAGCCACCTGCTGCTGCTCCAGAGGGCAACACACACCACAACACACACAGCTACACACACACACACACGCACAACAACACAGGGCTACACACACACACAGGGCTACACACACATACACAACCACACACACAACCACACAGGGCTACACACACATACACACACACACACAACCCCACACAGCTACACTCACACACACAACCACACAGGGCTACACACACAGCTACACACACACACAACACCACACAGGGCTACACACACACACACGCACACACACACACACAGAGACAGACACACACACAGGGCTACACAGACACACACACACAGACACACAACAACACAGGACTACACACACACACACAGGGCTACACACACATACACAACCACACAAGGCTACACACACACACACACAACCACACAAGGCTACACACACACACACACACAACCCCACACAGCTCACACACACACACACAACCACACAGGGCTACACACACAGCTACACACACACACAACACCACACAGGGCTACACACACACACACAGCGCTACACCGACACACACACACACAGACACACACACACACACACAGGGCTACACACACACACACACACACAGACACACACACAGGGCTACACACACACAGACGCACAGACACACACACAGACACACACACACAGGGCTACACACACACACACAGACACACACACAGACACACGCACACACACACACACAGACACACACACACACAGGGCCACAGTAAATGCAGGTCACATGTCGGCCTCATGAGCAACAGGACGATGCTCCAGGATCTGTGTTCATTTATGCTCTAATGACGTCATGCTGTAGAAGGTGGAACAGTGCATTCAGAACTTCCACAGAACTCCCACAGAACTCCCACAGAACTCCCACAGCAGTCAGACTGACGGGTCCTTCTTTAGCCTATGTACCGTCAGGGTTTCATAACTTTGTCACTTTGTGTGTGTCATTATTTTTTCTGAATTATCTTTTGTTTTTGAAATGTCTCGCGTTTAACAAAACTAACAGTCAAAGTTACCCATTTTCAATTTCTCTGTAACTTGATGGTCCTGGACTGGTCCTGGACTGGCCCTGGACTGATCCTGGACTGGCCCTGGACTGGTTCTAAACTGGTCCTGGTGGGTGTGTGTGCGTACATGTGTGTATATGTATGGACATGTGTGTGTGTGCAAACATGTGTGTATATGTATGGACACGTGTGTGTTCATACGTGTGTGCGTACATGTGTATGTGTATGGGCATGTTTGTATGTGTGTGTCTGTGTGTCTCTCCGTGTGTTTGTGTATGTGCATTCATGTGTGTCTCTGTGTGTGTTTATCTGTGTGTGTGTGTGTGGGTGTGTGTCTATGTATGTGTTCATGTGTGTGGATGTATGTGTGTCTTCATGTGTGTAAGTGCGTCTCTGTGTGTGTGTTCATATGTCTCTCTGTGTCTCTCTGTGTGTGTGTCTGTGTGAGTGTGTCTGTGTGTCTGTGTGTGTGTGTGTATAGTTATAAATAGTCCAGATAAATCCTGTGTCCTCTCCTCTGCTTTGGCTCTGGTCTGGGTCTGGCTCTGGCTCTGGTCTGGTCTGGCTCTGGTCTGGTCTGGGTCTGGCTCTGGCTCTGGTCTGGTCTGGCTCTGGTCTGGTCTGGGTCTGGCTCTGGCTCTGGTCTGGTCTGGCTCTGGTCTGGTCTGGTCTGGTCTGGCTCTGGCTCTGGTCTGGTCTGGGTCTGGCTCTGGTCTGGTCTGGGTCTGGCTCTGGTCTGGGTCTGGCTCTGGTCTGGGTCTGGCTCTGGTCTGGTCTGGGTCTGGCTCTGGGCTGCTGCAGTGAACTCTTTGTCTCCAATTCAATATAAATGAGATTTAAACAGATTTTCTCTGACTCTCGCGTCCTTCTCTGAGCTCAACCTTTTATCACTGATACTTTTCTCCTGATTCTTTCTGGACCATTACAGCCCAGAGTGATCCGCACCTGAGGCCAGGGCTCCTGCCGAGGCCCAGGGCTAACCACTCAATCACATCTCAGCACAACTCCAGCACCGGAAATTTCAGACCACATTTGTCACGGATACGATGCCAAAACGAAACCTCGAGAAGCAGAACACACACATGTACACACACACACACACGTACGCACGGACACACACACACACACTTATACACACACATATACACGTACGCACAGACACACACATATGTACACGCACACACACTTATACACACACATGACCACACACATGTACGCACACACACTCACACACGTACGCACAGACACATAGATATGTACGCAAACACACACACACACACACACTTATACAAATGTACGCATACACACACACACATGACCACCCACACGCACACACACACACACACATAAAAACACACACACAGATATGCACACACAAGGCAAGTATATTTGTAAAGCACAGTTCACACACAAGGAAACTTAAAGTGCCAGTCCCTGTGCTCCTCATTGTCCCAGCAGGAGGCCAGTCCCTGTGCTCCTCAGAGTCCCAGCAGGAGGCCAGTCCCTGTGCTCCTCAGAGTCCCAGCAGGAGGCCAGTCCCTGTGCTCCTCAGAGTCCCAGCAGGAGGCCAATCCCTGTGCTCCTCAGAGTCCCAGCAGGAGTCCAGTCCCTGTGCTCCCCAGAGTCGCAGCAGGAGGCCAGTCCCTGTGCTCCTCAGAGTCCCAGCAGGAGTCCAGTCCCTGTGCTCCTCAGAGTCGCAGCAGGAGGCCGGTCCCTGTGCTCCTCAGAGTCCCAGCAGGAGTCCAGTCCCTGTGCTCCTCAGAGTCGCAGCAGGAGTCCAGTCCCTGTGCTCCTCAGAGTCCCAGCAGGAGTCCAGTCCCTGTGCTCCTCAGAGTCCCAGCAGGAGTCCAGTCCCTGTGCTCCTCAGAGTCGCAGCAGGAGGCCAGTCCCTGTGCTCCTAAGAGTCCCAGCAGGAGGCCAGTCCCTGTGCTCCTCAGAGTCCCAGCAGGAGGCCAGTCCCTGTGCTCCTCAGAGTCCCAGCAGGAGGCCAGTCCCTGTGCTCCTCAGAGTCCCAGCAGGAGGCCAGTCCCTGTGCTCCTAAGAGTCCCAGCAGGAGGCCAGTCCCTGTTCTCCCCAGAGTCGTTGTTTCAAATGGCACTAACATGGATGTTCTTTGGTGCGGGGCCACAGAGTTCTATGCAGTTGTTGATTCCCCAACAACAGATCAGAGAATCAAACAATTAGAAAAACATACAATAATAATAATAACAAACACAGAGACATTGGTCCATGTGAGCGAGACCTCTGTCTATAAATGATCATCTCTGTCCTCAGACCCTCCTACATCGGCAAAGATCAATTCACAAAGTAAGAAACCCACAAACAGTAGATCCAGGACTCAGGCTCAGTCCAGTCTGGTCTCTCCCGGTCTCTGTACTTTTACTGAACGTGCCAACACTAATACTTGTTCGACTTATACTTAATGTGCCCCGACCCAGAAATGGATTAAGGGGAAGAAAATGGAAGGATGGTGCCAAGACTAAAGTATATTATGGTTCAATGAAAGAGTCAGAAATGCCAACAGGGCCTCTCTGTGTCGGGGTTTATGGAGGTTTGAGGACCAGGTTCTCATGGTGTGGATTTTGTGTTGTTTTGCTTTATTTTGACATTACACTGCAAAAACAGATGCAAAAAATAACCGTGACCGTAACCGTGACTGTGCCTAAAGTAAAAATTTGCTCAGATTTGGCTAAATGCAGCGTAATCTGAGCACATTTTGACGTTGCCTTAAGACAAGATTTGCCAATTGGACAAAGCAAAATGATCTGTTTTTAAAAAGATACAAAAAAATGTCTCCCTCGGAATGGGAAAAGAAAGCAGCTGTTCTTGAAATAAGAATAATGGCTTTTTCCCGTTGGAAAATCTTGTTTTTAAGATAATTTGAGATTTAAAAAACACACAGAGGAAGCATCAGTCCAGAGGAGGCATCAGTCCAGAGGAAGCATCAGTCCAGAGGAAGCATCAGTCCAGAGGAAGTATCAGTCCAGAGGAAGCATCAGTCCAGAGGAAGCTTCAGTCCAGAGGAAGCATCAGTCCAGAGAAGCATCAGTCCAGAGGAAGCATCAGTCCAGAGGAAGCATCAGTCCAGAGAAGCATCAGTCCAGAGGAAGCATCAGTCCAGAGGACGCATCAGTCCAGAGGAAGCATCAGTCCAGAGGAAGCATCAGTCCAGAGGAAGCATCAGTCCAGAGAAGCATCAGTCCAGAGAAGCATCAGTCCAGAGGAAGCATCAGTCCAGAGGAGGCATCAGTCCAGAGGAAGCAGCAGTCCAGAGGAGGCATCAGTCCAGAGGAAGCATCAGTCCAGAGGAAGCATCAGTCCAGAGAAGCATCAGTCCAGAGGAAGCATCAGTCCAGAGGAAGCATCAGTCCAGAGGAGGTATCAGTCCAGAGGAAGCATCAGTCCAGAAAAGCATCAGTCCAGAGGAAGCATCAGTCCAGAGGAAGCATCAGTCCAGAGAAGCATCAGTCCAGAGGAAGCATCAGTCCAGAGGAAGCATCAGTCCAGAGGAAGCATCAGTCCGGAGGAAGCATCAGTCCAGAGGAAGCATCAGTCCAGAGGAAGCATCAGTCCAGAGAAGCATCAGTCCAGAGAAGCATCAGTCCAGAGGAAGCATCAGTCCAGAGGAGGTATCAGTTCAGAGGAAGCATCAGTCCAGAAAAGCATCAGTCCAGAGGAAGCATCAGTCCAGAGGAAGCATCAGTCCAGAGGAAGCATCAGTCCAGAGGAAGCATCAGTCTAGAGGAAGCATCAGTCTAGAGGAAGCATCAGTCCAGAGGAGGTATCAGTCCAGAGGAAGCATCAGTCCAGAGGAGGTATCAGTCCAGAGGAAGCATCAGTCCAGAGGAAGCATCAGTCCAGAGGAAGCATCAGTCCAGAGGAAGCATCAGTCCAGAGGAAGCATCAGTCTAGAGGAAGCATCAGTCCAGAGGAGGTATCAGTCTAGAGGAAGCATCAGTCCAGAAAAGCAACAGTCCAGAGGAAGCATCAGTCCAGAAAAGCATCAGTCCAGAGGAAGCATCAGTCCAGAGAGGCATCAGTCCAGAGGAAGCATCAGTCCAGAGGAAGCATCAGTCCAGAGGAAGCACTGATAACTTATCTTTGAATATTTAGATAACAACAGAACAGTTGACATCAGATACTGTATCTGCGGAGGACGGAGGCCGTTAAAGCCCAGACCAGAGCTGCTGCTGTCAGGAACAAAAGAGCAGAGAGCCCCCCGTGACCTGGAAGACGTTTATGGTCCCAGATAAGAGGCAGGAGGCTGGAGGAGAGAGAGGAGTCCAAATCCCCCACAATGCACCTCTCACTGTTTTCAATTCAAATGGAGCTTTCGCGAAAGTTCACCGTGGTAGACCCGGCTGTTGCTGCCAGGCCACAGGCTGCTATTCCTCGACTCATCAATACCAGCAACGCCCACACCCAGTCAACCAATAACCACCAGGACAGCAAGTTAAAAGCCGGAGACGCCCACTTCCCGATCTTCTGAAGTCTGCAAGGTGCATGTCGCTAACGCTCCTGTTCGCAAATGCATGCGTTGTTCTGGAGGGGTCGCTTCTGCTCACGTGTTGCTCGTGCGCGTGGCCCGGCTGTCCTCAGTCTGGCTGCTCGTGGTCTGCTCCTCTTCCGTGTCCCTGCACCTGCTGTGGTTCGCGCGTCTCCACTGCTCTCCTCTTCTGCGGGCTCTTTCTGCGGGCTGCTCCGCGGGGCCCCTCCGCGGTTCTGTGCTGCCCGTTCCTCGTGGTCTGCTGCCGCGCGCAGACGGTCTGGCGGTGCTGTGCGTGTCCCTGCCTCCGACTGGCGGTGCCGCGTTGTCCCGTTGCTTTCCCAAGTCTCCTGGCATGTGAGTACAGTGAGTGTGCCGACCGCGGACGGATTAATCCCGGAGTCTAGGCTGCAGGCGGCTGGTTTTTGCCCTACGCACTTGACTGCAGGCGTCAGTCTTCGCCCGTGCTTGGTCTGCAGGCTCCGTTTTACACGTGTTGAGCTAACTGAGGGTCAATGCATCTTAAATGGCATCAATCTCCAATGTCTGAGGGATATAAGAGGAGCAATGTGCATTAATTCAGATTCATGTTCTGCCACTTGCAGTAAAACCACGTTGGAAAAAATGTGCAAAGACTACCCCATCGTGCTCCAGACGGCACACACAGAGCTCTTGCACGGCGCCATCTTTACAGCATCAATCTCATTACTCGCAAGTCACTATTGTTAAATGATGTATTTAAATTCGTCTATCTGCAGGAGGAAGGAGGGGCCATGCATTTAAATAGCTAGGTCACTAGTATTAAACTGGGTAACTAAACTGCAGTTGTTGCATTTCGAAAGTGCAGCAGAAAGAAAAGGGGCCCAATGTGAATATGCAATGGGTTTGAAGTGGAGCTGTAGCTATGAACGCATGGATCAGTGATCGTTCATGCGTATCTGCCATAACCAAAGCAGCAAGATGGCTCCAGGGGACATCTGTTTCTCGCATGGGAATGTTTCGGATTCGGGTTGATTTATTTCCTCAGGCTCTTAAACAACCGTGGGCATGGTTCTCTGACCGCCGCTGCTGCGGTCCCTGCTGCCGTTCCTACTGATGCCTGATCCCGCTGCTGCCTATTCCTGCTGCTGCCTGTCCCTGCTGCCTGCTCCTGCTGCTCCTACTACTACATGTGCCGCTGCTGCTGTTCCTGCCGCTGCCGCTCCGCAGGCTCCCAGGCTGCACCTATCTCTACGGCTCGGCTCTTCAGACACGTACGTAACCTGGCTCACGGAGACAAGCGGCGCACGCTGGCGTGACACGTCTGTTGTTCGTATGAATTGCATTGTGCTGCTGCTGCTTGCTGCTTCTGCTGCCGCTACTGCTGCTATTGCTGCCGCTGCTGCTTCATACTGCATCTGCTGCCGTGCTGCTGCTGCTTCTTTACTTTGACACCTCTCTTCACTGCGCATCTCTTTTACTGAAACACTAAACAGCTTCAACTATATTCTACTGCGGTGGCTTGATACAGGATTATTGCTGTTATTATCTACGGATGCTGCAACCGCTGCTGCTGCTTCATGCTGCTACCGTTACTGCTGCCGCTGCTGCTTCATACTGCATCTGCTGCCGTGCTGCTGCTGCTTCATGTACTTGACATCTCTCTTCACTTCGCATCTCTTTTACTGAAACACTAAACAGCTACAACAATATTCTACTGCTCTGGCTTTGATACAGGATTATGGCCGTTATTATCTACGGATGCTGCAACCGCTGCTGCTTCATACTGCTACTGCTGCTACTGCTAATGCTGCTTCTGCTGCTTCATACTGCTACCGTTACTGCTGCTGCTACTGCTGCGCTGCTGCTGCTGCTTCATGTACTTTGACATCCCTCTTCACTTCGCATCTCTTTTACTGAAACACTAAACGGCTACAACAATATTCTACTGCTCTGGCTTTGATACAGGATTATTGCTGCTATTATCGACGGATGCTGCAGCTGCTGCTGCTTCACACTGCTACTGCTGCTGCTGCTTCATACTGCTACTGCTGCTGCTTCATACGGCTACTGCTGCTACTACTGCTGCTGCTGCTTCATTTACTTTGCCATCTCTCTTCACTTCGCATCTCTTTTACTGAAACCCTGAACAGCTACAACAACATTCTACTGCTGTGGCTTTGATACAGAATTATTACTGTTATTTTCTAAGGACGCTGCTACTGCTGCTGCCGCGGCTTGATACAGGACTTTGCTGTTATTATCTGAGGCTACTGCTGCTGCCGCTGCTGCTACTGCTACTGCAACCCATTCTCTCAGAAGCTTATCCTGCTTCTAATGGATGCAGCCCGGCTGAGTATGCCGCGCTGCGCCGGACTCGCACCTATGCTCCCAGGGTCGCTTCGGCGGTCGTGCTTCATCTCTCTACTGAATCTTCTGATTCTATCAGATGCAGCTGGCCAAGTAGCTGCGCTGAGCCGTCAATCGGACTCCTAATCAAAGGCATCCATACCTGGTTCTTCACTCTTCTGATCACAGGCTCCCCATCATGCTGCCCATCCTGCAGCGGCGCTGAACTCCGGCTCATCTTCCAAGTACATGTCTGCCCTCCTCGCAGCATCTTCTGCTCGCCTTCTGTGGCTTCTCTGCATAAGCGTTTCACCACTGCTCACTCAACCTTCAATGCGGTCCGAGACACGGCTTCCCGTCCTATCCTACTGGCCTAATTATCTACTCTCCAACCCAAGATTCTAAGCGTAAAGGCGCCTGCAACATCAATGGCCCTCTCCGGTGTGTCTCTCTGCCCCTACAGGTCTCCGCTTCTACACGGACGCTGCCCCTTCCGTGGGTTTTTGGGGGATTCTTCCAGGACCAGTGGTTCGCCGGCCGTGGCCCGCCACTTTCCCCGGAGCATTTCCTCTGCCCTACACGAGACATTCCCAGTGGTCGTGGCCTGCGCGCTGCGGAATCACACGTGGCAGAGAAAGAGGATCTCTGTCATGCGTGATCATCTCGACGTAGTGGAAGCATTAAACAAAGGTCGCTCTTCTCACCCAACATAATGTCCCCTGACCATTCAACCTTCATCTCAAACATTCAAAGATCAGAGGCGCCTGCAACACAATAATAGCTCGCTTCGACACATCTCTCTGCCCCTACAGGTCCATGATGCGTTACACTCGCCTCCGCGGCAAAAAGGAGATTTTAACGGACCTCTAATTCTCACTCCAGTCAACCTTCCCATAACAGCAACCTGGTTCAGAGCTCAGCTAAGATCCCTACTGCTCCTCTGCAATTTGTCTCCCCAGCTCTATACAGCCCACTCCTTCAGGATAGGCGCTGCCACGCGCGCGACCTCGCTGGGGCTCCCCCACTCTTCCTCTGCAACGGCTGGGGCGCTGGTCCTCTTCGGCTTCTCCACCTACATCAGGCCAGATGCGACCGCTATCATGGCAGCACAACGTCTACCGGCTTCCTCGTAAGCTCCCAGCAAAGCAAGTAAGCAATAAGATTCTGGTGGCGGCACGCACTCCTCAAACGCTCAAAGATTCCTTGCTTCAGCGTCTGGCTGAATATGAGCGTGCGCTCATATTCTCAGTTCGCTCAAAGATTCCTCTGCTGCGGCTGGCTGAACATGCGCGTGCGCGCATGTTCTCAGTTCGCTCAAAGATTCCTCTGCTGCGGCTGGCTGAGCATGCGCGTGCGCGCATGCTCTCAGTTCGCTCAAAGATTCCTCTGCTGCGGCTGGCTGAACATGCGCGTGCGCGCATGTTCTCAGTTCGCTCAAAGATTCCTCTGCTGCGGCTGGCTGAGCATGCGCGTGCGCGCATGCTCTCAGTTCGCTCAAAGATTCCTCTGCTGCGGCTGGCTGAACATGCGCATGTTCTCAGTTCGCTCAAAGATTCCTCTGCTGCGGCTGGCTGAGCATGCGCGTGCGCGCATGCTCTCAGTTCGCTCAAAGATTCCTCTGCTGCGGCTGGCTGAACATGCGCGTGCGCGCATGTTCTCAGTTCGCTCAAAGATTCCTCTGCTACAGCGGCTGGCTGAACATGCGCATGGTCTCAGCTCGCTCATGCTCTCAGGCCCGCGCAGTACGTCCTGCTATCCCAATCGCAAGCCCGCTTTTTGGGGATCATGCACGCGAGCAAGCGCCGTGCTCAACAGCATCCCGCCCGGGCCTAGGGCGCCAAACATGCTCAATCAATAAACATGCTTAAATCTAATAAGTCTAATGCGTTTTCCTCATGGGTCTCTCCAAGGTGAATTATTTTTTTAAACACAGCAGCAGTTGTCTCTGACTTAAGAAACTTTCACCAACAACTGAAAAACAATCATAACAAACACATATGAGCCATACATGGAAAAACACACTTTTGTCTTTTTAGGAGAATGGTCTGAGCTTAAATCACCAGAGCCAGAGGTCCATGAGGACCAGGACCACCACGGCCTTTAAATGTTGTCCTTATACCAGGCATGTCCAAACTCAGGCCCTTGGGCCAATTGCGGCCCTCAGTGTAATCTTACGTGGCCCTCTGCCTCGCTAACCCAAAGCAGTATTTGAGATCATAAACACAAGTTCACTGTGTCATCCATCCAACTTCAGCTCCATGTATTTACACTTAGACGTTTGGACATACGGCACTGACGCGGTTTTTGATTGTGTCACAAATTTCGTTGTTAGTGCTTGTAAGGAATGTTTTGTTTATCTTGAAGTTTATCAGAGCAACTTCCAGTTGCTTCTGGATTGTACTTAATGTGACCTGGTGTGTGGGCTCGGGGTGGTCCAGTTGGACCTGGTTAAATGGTTAGCGCCTCGCTGAAAGGGAATAAAGGTGTGTTCTTTAATGTGATTTTCATATGTTTTGTGCTTAACTGATTCAATGTATTCATGGTTTTAGCTCTTACCATGAATTTATGCAATGAAATGAAAATAGAAATGGGCACATGCCTTCGTTCATTCAGCTAAAGCTGCCACAGTGCTACTGTAGCAAAGATGGTAAACATGAGTCTGGTATAGATCATTTTAAATCTCAGAACAGCCCGATGCCGTTTAATCCATTAATCCATGATGTCGGCCCCTGGACTAGTCTGGTGAACTAAAGTGGCCCTCTTACTAAAATGTTTGGACACCCCTGACAGAAAAATCTGGTTTTCATGCATCAATCTTTTGCCCTTGAATCTTGAGTTCAGTTTTTTCAGACAGAAAAGTGAAAAGAGAGGACCACCCTCACTCAGCCAATCAGCTCTCAGCCCAAAGGGTCTAAAGAGTCAATAATTACTTGGGGAAACTCACACACATCCACAGTGATGGTCCTGAGATCAGCGGGTGTTTCGGGTCTTTCAACACCAGACCCCCTCCCCCAGACCCAGTGGGGGATCCACTCCTGCACTGCAAAAAGCGGAAAGAAATAAGTTTAAAATTACTCAAATTTGGCTAAAAAGAATCTTAATTTAAACAGATTCTGACTGAGCCTTAAAACAAGATTCACCAAAGAGACAAATCAAAATGATCTTGTTTTAGAAAGATACAAGAAAAGTCTCCTTTGGAATGAGAAAATAAAGCAACAGTTTTTGAAATAAGACTTTGGCTTTGTCCCGTTGGGTCAAAATGTGTCAGATTAAGATAAAAACATGATTCAAGCATTTATTACCTCACATTTATCATTTTTTGCAGTGTGACTTTTTTCATAACTTGTTTGCACCATGAACCAAAGAAAAATTCCTGGTTTGGGACTTCCTGCTGTGGCCATTCCTCCATGTGAAAGTTAGATCCCATCAGACACCTAATTCTAAGCAGGACAGGGATTGATTAGTACTGTGATGGGAGACCTCTGGGAACAGCAGGTGGGGCGGCTGCGGCTGTGAAGAGCCTAACTGTTGTCGTGTCCTTAGGCAAGACACTTCACCCACACTAGAATGAGTCTGGTGAGTGTGTGAATGGTTGGTGGTGGTCGGAGGGGTTGAAGGAACATGCTGGTCGCCTCGCTTCTGTCAGTGTGCCCCAGGGCAGCTGTGGCTACTGTAGTAGTTTATCACTGTTTGGAGTGAATGGATGTGAAGCATCCAAAAAAAGCTTTATCAAGAATCCAATGCATTACAAGGACAATAAAAAAATAAAATAAAAAAACTTTGGGACAAACAAAATGTATTATTTATGAATAAAAAGTGAGTTTCTCCTTTTGTATTGGCACGAACTTTGAAGACAGAGCGTAGTGGTGGAATCTGTTCCCATAATATACTTTAGCTTTTACAAGGCTCTGTCTGTGACGGTAAACAACACGTAATATTTATGAAACACACACAGGTGACGCAGATAGATCAGACACACATGGAGAGATAGATAGATAGGTAGGTAGATAGATAGATACTTTATTGATCCCTCATAGGAAAAACTCAGGAGACCAGCAAGCAGAAAAAAAAATACATATATCTAAAAGTTACTAACAACAGTAACACAGTGCAACTCTATATTATTATTATTCTATAGGATACACTACTGGACTTTTACTAAACTACATAACAGGCTTACATAGAAGTAGATTTTGTCCCTTTTTGTTTTTAAATTTCTAAATACGTGTCTCATTCGGTGGTAGCAGACAACACCGTTAAACACAGCTATCATCTCTCCCACTCCAGTCTGCTTCACACTCACACCACTGGCTCCCACATGTGAGAGAGTACAGGGGGGGGGGAGAGAGAGAGAGAGAGAGAGAGAGGGAGGGAGGGACCAGCCCATCCAACCTATTCCAAGCCATAGCGCGCACACGGCTCCACGCGCGCTTCGGTCTTGCGTCTCCAAAAGCCTTGTGGGTGTAAAGAGAGAGTATAGAGTGACCAGACCAAACCATGCCTGGACTTCTTTCCCCCGAGGACCCGCCGGGGAGCTTCCTTGCCAGCCGTGGGACCCCTTAACATCACAGACCTACAGGGTGGAGTCACGTGGGGGGGCAGAGGATGTGAAGACAGCCCGCAGACAGACGCACCAGACACACGCGCACGTATAGAAACTGGAACTTGCTTCTTCTTTCTCCAAACACCTTTTTGACTTTGTTTGAGGATGTGAAACTGCCCTCTATGTAGGCTTTTGGACATCTTTCTAAGGAACCCACGTGAGATTATATCCAAACAGAGATTATATATAAACCCTTGTCTCTGGATTTGAATTTCTGCGGGGGAAAAAACCTGCTTTTTGGATTTCAATTGAGTACTTTTAAAAGAACTCACGTAACTAGAGTAGCATTGGGAGACCATTTCAAAGCTTCTCCATGCGTCCCGAGGCGTGGACTGCCCTCTCAGCTCCGTGTGGTCCCCATCATTATGTCCCTGGTTCCGTGGTTGCCTCCAGTCGCTCACTACGCACTCTACGATGAGCAGATGGGCCCCGTTTGGGAGTAAGGCTGCCGGTGTGGGGACGTACGGGACCAGGACGCACACCCGCACACTGGTACTGCTGCTGGTACTGCTGCTGGTACTGTCCCTGCCCCGGGTGGAGGGGGGCCAAGGCGCGCACAGGGACCGGCGGAGGCACGCACAGGTCGCGCTGGATGGTTCGAAGCCAGTGGCGCAGGGAGGGAGAGGGGGGACCGGGGGGGCCCTGGGGAGGCACGCCAGGAGCTACAACCATCTCCAGGGAGACATCCGCAGGAGGAAGCTGTTCTCCTTCCAGAAGTTTTTCCTGAGGATTGATAGGAACGGGAAAGTCAACGGGACGAAGAGCAAAGACGATCCTTTCAGTGAGTAACACAAGTTTTCTTCTTATTCTTCTTCTGCTTCTTCTACTTCTACTTCTTCTTCTTCTTCTACTTCTACTTATCCTTATCCTACTTCTTCTTCTTCTTCTTTTTCTTGTGCAGTGTATTTTTAGTTGTGGGAGCACTAATAACAGAAATAATTTGTTTTCCTTTTTTTGGATCCCGTTGTAGTTTTTGAATATAGGCCTTCACCAAATGGTTGTGATGCAGTTCTATGACAAAAAACACTCAAAATGTATCAAATTTGTCTAAATGTGTCTTAATTCGAGCACATTCTGCCTTTAAACAAGATTGGCCAATGAGCAAAACTGTTTATATAAATAATAATAAATCTCTTTCAGTTTCAAGCTTCAAGTAGAAACAGTGACTCATAAAGTGATTTACCAAATGGTTGCGGGAAACATTAAAGGGTTAAAAAGTCAAATGTGTAAAGATTCTAGTCCTGCTTCATCACCAGGTTAATCACACAGACATAATACACTTTGGTTTTATTCTAACCCTAACACTTAGGTTTTTTTCTAATTGTGTTAAAAACACAATTAAAAAACGTTTAAACCCAAATATCTGCCATTTCTACCCCTTACTTTTTCAATTGACGACACAGTATAAAAAATATCTTGGAAGCGGTTAGCCCTAACCCTAACCCTAACCCTAACTCGATTTGTTTTGGTTAGCCATGCTTCAAAGTTCAGATAAACCATTAGGCCTGAGTGTTATTTTTTCATTCTCTGTCAGTATATGAAACATTTGGACATTGGTGGCTGAGTGGTTTGTAGGTTAGTATTCCGGTCTGAATCACGGTCGGGACAGGGGTTTTCTGAGAGGACTTTGCGTGTAGGTTTCCTCCAGGTGCTACGGTTTCCCCTATCACTAGAAATATGCACAATAGCGCCCCTCTCTCGGGGCCAGGACTTTGCTGAAAAAGAGATTTTAAAACCAGACTGGAGCTTCCTGAATGGGGTTTGTGTGTTCTCCTGGTGTCTGCGTAGATTTCCTCCAGGTGCTACGGTTTCCCCTATCAATAGAAACATGTGCAATAGCTCCCCTCTCTATGGGGCCAAAAAGAGATTCTGGAACATTCCTGGTTAAATAGAGGTGATTAAACTCAATAGAATTAGTTTTTCAAGTCAATTATTCACAAATACATATTTTTCCTTGAAGGAGCTACAATAAACCCGTGTAAATGTTTAGCACCGCCCCTCAACTCGCTCAGAGGCTTCTCATTTCCTTACGTTCTCATTCCACACAGCCATCTAGTTTTATTTGCGATCTATATGCTAACATTAGCATGAGCGCAACTTCTTGTAAGCCGTACAACAATCACTGATGAAATGGTACAAAAGCAACGCACTGCTAACACAATATATATCTGAAAGATTAGCGCTAGTTTCACGTCCGAATATCGTTCAAGCATAGATAGTCCGAGCGTAGATAGTCCGAGCGTAGATAGTCCGAGCGTAGATAGTCCGAGCGTAGATAGTCCGAGCGTAGATAGTCCGAGCGCAGATAGTCCGAGCGTAGACAGTCCGAGCATAGATAGTCCGAGCATAGATAGTCTGAGCGTAGATAGTCCGAGCGTAGATAGTCCGAGCGTAGATAGTCCGAGCGTAGATAGTCCGAGCATAGATAGTCCGAGCGTAGATAGTCCGAGCATAGATAGTCCGAGCGTAGATAGTCCGAGCGTAGATAGTCCGAGCGTAGATAGTCCGAGCGTAGATAGTCCGAGCGTAGATAGTCCGAGCATAGATAGTCCGAGCGTAGATAGTCCGAGCATAGATAGTCCGAGCGTAGATAGTCTGAGCGTAGATAGTCCGAGCGTAGATAGTCCGAGTATAGATAGTCTGAGCATAGATAGTCTGAGCGTAGATAGTCCGAGCGTAGATAGTCCGAGCGTAGACAGTCCGAGCGTAGATAGTCCGAGCATAGATAGTCCAAGCGTAGATAGTCCGAGCATAGATAGTCTGAGCGTAGATAGTCCGAGCGTAGATAGTCCGAGCGTAGATAGTCCGAGCGTAGACAGTCCGAGCGTAGATAGTCCGAGCGTAGATAGTCCGAGCGTAGATAGTCCGAGTGTAGATAGTCCGAGCGCAGATAGTCCGAGCGTAGATAGTCCGAGCGTAGATAGTCCGAGGCGGTCCCGCAGGTCTCTCCCACAGACAAGTCTCTCCAGAGGATGCGATGTAAGCTAGCTATGTTCAGGGCTTGGTTTCTTCTTTGATCATGTTTTCGCTTTTGTTCCCTCTTCTCTTCCTCACTGTTGTGTGGTTTGAGCTGTTTTGCTGTGTCTGCAGTTACAGCCAGAGGAGTTATAGCCACTTATGCTAACATGCTACTGTGTTTAGCAGCGCTGTAGAGGCTAGAGGACGCAGCCCCGTTCTGTGATTGGAGGAGAGCGAGCGTCACGAATTCATACACAAGCTAAATCAATGAGCTCAAGTCTGTTTATTTACGGATTTTAATACAACTTGTATGTTTAAATAAGCATTGTTATGAACTAATTTTATAATTTTTTTATATCGGCTATACCTTCTTTAAGTTCACTAACAGCTCATTTCTACGTGTTCATTTCATCAATGGAGTGGTTGGTTCTTTGTGATTTGTGTATTAATACAGAGGTCGGACTACCACTGCAAAAAGTCCCTAAGTTCCTAATCTCAAGTGAAACAGGACTTTTGTGCCAGATTCAGATTCAGTTGTTTTTGCCATTTGGCTATTTTTGACAAGTAAAAATATGCTAAAGACTATCTGTGGTGTCACGCACTCTGTGATCCTGGAGTTTATATTATGATAGTAAATTTGCAAATCCAGTTATGAGCCATGTAAGGATTGACCGATCAGATGGCTTCATTCTCAGGGGAAACTCCAGCTTGCCTTAGCAACCGTCTTAGCAACACGTCTGCTACTATCACGACAATAGACAGTTAATATTAGCGGACGTAGTGACGCCTAGCTCCACCATTGAAACTTACTTGCTATCACTTTTCCCTCCTACCGTCTTTTTAAGTGGGCCGTGGGCAACCCCTATACCACAGGAAGGGTTAGCCCCATTCATTTAACCAGTGCATTCAAAAGTCCACAGCGGCCAAACTAGGCTGGTCCAAAATAAAATACTCCCCTCAACATTGACAGGATCAGGAACGTAGCGTTGTTTCTGGACCATACTGCCAAGCCGTTTTTGAGAGGAAAGAATACGCTATAAAAATATATGGGATAATTCTGTTTCCAGGTACACCCCCACCAGCAAGGAGTCAGATTACAAGCATGTCCGCAAACATGCTCCACTTGTCACTCCGCAATGCTAACGCTGTCCGAACAAATGTAAGTTAATTGTCTCCAGCTAGCTTATGTCCAAATCCGCATTAAGGCTAACACTGCGGTGATGTCAGCTCTGGCTCAGTCCACTGCGAATATACAGTCTATGATAAACAAAGTGGAAAGATGAATGTGGCTTTCTTCTTCTTCTTCTTCTTCTTCTTCTTCTTCTGGACGTTTAGCTTGGCTCTGGCTCTTGACACGGGTGACGGTGATGGGAGCAGTGACAGGGCTGAGGCGGGAGCTCGGGTCCATGAGTGCAGCGTTATCAGCGGCGTTCACGGCCTAGCATAAACACTGCGATAAGAACACGTCAGGGGGAGGAAGACCATTACACATGTCAGCCTCTGTATAGTGCTGCTTCTCTCTCTCTCTCTCTCTCTCTCTCTCTCTCTCTCTCTCTCTCTCTGCAAAACGTGGTGAGAAAGTGCCCAAATTAAGATAAAAACCACTCGATATAAGCAATTATTAGCTCATGTTTTATCATTGTTTACAGTGGACTCTCTCACACTGCGAAAGTGATGGAAAATAAGTGAAAAATTGCTCAGATTTGGCAAAAATGTATCTAAAGTTGAGGATATTCTGACGGCATTAAAACAAGATTTGTCAAAGTCTCTCTTAGAATGAGAAAATAAAGCAACAGTGAAATAACTTTGTCCTGTTGGAAAGTGGGCCCTGAAACTTTATGAGAGAGAGGTCTATTCAAATCTCTCTCTCACTCTCTCTATCTCACCCTCTCACACTCTCCTTCACTTCCTCAATCTATCTCCCTCTCTCTCGCTCTCTCTCTCTCATTCTCTCCCTCATTTTCCCCCACTCTCTTTCTCTCTCACTCTATCATCACTCTCCCCCACGCTCTCTCCCTCATTCTCCCCTCTCCTCCTCCCTCTCTCTCTTTCTCACTCTCTCTCACTCTCCTTCTCCCTCTCAATCTATCTCCACCCCTTTCTCTCTCTCTCTCTCACTCTCCCCCACTCTCTCTCTCCCTCATTCTCCCCCACTCTCTCTCTCTGTCTTCCTCTCTCTCTCTCTCTCTCTCTCTCTCCCCACTCTCTCTCTCTTCCTCTCTCTCTCTCTCTCTCTCTCCCCACTCTCTCTCTCTTCCTCTTTCTCTCTCTCTCTCCCCACTCTCTCTCTCTGTCTTCCTCTCTCTCTCTCTCTCCCCACTCTCTCTCTCTGTCTTCCTCTCTCTCTCTCTCTCCCCACTCTCTCTCTCTCTGTCTTCCTCTCTCTCTCTCTCTCTCTCTCTCCCCACTCTCTCTCTCTTCCTTTCTCTCTCTCTCCCCCCGAATTCTCTCCCCATTCTCTCTCTCTTCCTTTCTCTCTCTCTCTCTCTCTCCCCACTCTCTCTCTGTCTTCCTCTCTCTCTCTCTCTCCCCACTCTCTCTCTCTGTCTTCCTCTCTCTCTCTCTCTCTCCCCACTCTCTCTCTCTGTCTTCCTCTCTCTCTCTCTCTCTCTCCCCACTCTCTCTCTCTTCCTCTCTCTCTCTCTCTCTCTCCCCACTCTCTCCCCCCGAATTCTCTCCCCATTCTCTCTCTCTTCCTTTCTCTCTCTCTCTCTCTCTCTCTCTCTCTCTCTCTCTCCCCACTCTCTCTCTCTCCCCCACTTTCTCTCCCTCTCTCTCTCTAAATGACATAGTGATTTCCGGACATGTTTGTTTAGGATTCCTGATGAGAA